ATAACACCACCAAAGGTATTGTTATTTTATTATGTTCTTCAGTAAGATGGAAGGTTTGTCCAGTGGCAGCGTAGGCCCGCGTGCTTATTCGTTCAAAGCAGAGTAGAAGGTAGACACACAGGAAGACCACAGTAAAATAACACTACCTTTTGGTGTGTTTCTGTCGTTGAGTAAGGTTCGAGAGCTCCACGGGGTAGGCAATTGGGTTTAGGTAGGCAACGGTGCTAGTGATAGTTTTGGTATCGCAAGAGTCTATAGGCTATGGTGGCCGCTTACCATCAGGTGGGCCATGCGCTTATTTTGCTTACTACTCTTTTAACATAAAAAAAATAAGAGCGCCCCAAATCAAGCGTGAAATCCGTTCCTACTTCCTACTCTCTTGTGAGCCCGATCGTACACAGAATAGTGCGAGTCATGACTTCAGCTCATCACTAAATTATGAACCAACTTTTATAATCTTCATAAAACCCTCTGTTAAAGCAAGTTCTACGAAGTTATGGTCTAGTTTATGAATATTCAATCTATTCACATAAGTTTCAAGGCTGATGACGAGTTTGCCCTCAAAACCACTTAGATTCAACAGTTTATGTAAACTACTTGCTTATAGGTAAATTCGCAAATACTTAGTTATTTTCAGCCGATAATATCGGATGTGTTATTGCAATATTTCTACATACTCACATCAAAAAAAGTTTGAGATCACTTGCAAAAGCTGATATATTTTCAAAATATAACTTAATCAAGAGAAAACGTTTACGGTATATCTTTTTTATTTAAAATAACACTTTCTGAAATTAAAAAAAAAAACTAATTTTATTTTTTAGTATAAAAATTTTAATAATTGTATCCTAAGGCGTTTGTAATAGAACTTTGATAGAAATAAAAAGATAGATTAACCAAACTTCAAAACCTTTTATTAGTAAATTTTTGTTTATCTAATACAAAACTAACTCTGGCTCGAACACATGCGAAGATCCTGCTGGGCATGCTGAGGATCAAGTTATCCAGCATTTCTTGTGTTAACCTGTCCCATTCTTGAACAGCAGCTTCCCTGAGCTGCGGCACTGTCTGGGGTGGTGGCTGCCGGTTCCAAACAGCTCGCTTAAGAGCATCCCACTCGTGCTCTATTGGGTTTGAGTCAGGAGAGCTGGCAGGCCAGTCTAACCTTGGGATTTCGTATTCTCGGAGAGCAGCATTGACTCGTTGAGCTCGATGTGCGGGCGCATTATCGTCAACCAGTACAAATTGGTGCCCATGGTTTACTCGGAAAGGTCTGACGATTGCATCAATTGCGACTGTATTGTATCTGTCTGCCGTCATGAAGTTTTGATAAGGGATTAAAAGCGTTCTAACCCCGATCATAATACCACCCCAAAAGGACACTGATTTCCCACATTGCTGAACCGTTCCAGTGGTATCTTTGCCTTTCAGTGTCTCCAGGTATTCTCCAAACACGGACACGTCGGTTATCTGGATGAGTACTGATTCCCGATTCGTCAACGAAGAGGCAGTTTTGTCAAATGTTTTCCTCTTCGTCTTTTTCGTTTTGTCGGAGCCTAACCCACTGTAATCTCCGTCGCTGACGTTCCCGTGAATACAAAGGATCTCGCCAAGACCTCCGTGCTCGTAATCCAGCCTTGTGTGAGCAATTCCGAATGGTCTCAGTGCTAACTTCAAGTCCGGAGGCGGCACGTATTTCTGATTTTAATTTAGTGGCGTTTATTGTTGGGTCGTGGGCTTCCAGCAATCTGATGAAGCACTTCTGAGCAGCTGTCGAAACAGTTGGGCGACCGCTGCGGGGTCGATCAGCTAAATTACCCATGCCGTGGTACCTCTGCAACGTGGTTACTACACAGGATTGGGGTATGGCAACTCTGCGAGCTATTTTCTCGTAGAATAGCCTTCTTCCCTCTAAGTTACAATTCTGGCTCATAAAACATCTGATAATCCTCATGGCATTTTCTAAATCACAACTTTCCGTGAAAAAAATATTTTAAATTCGATAATATTGACTAAGTCAGATTTTTCAATGAGTGTAAGCTTGGATTGCATGTCTTTTTATATGGAAAAATAAATAATTGAATTATTTTATTGTTTTACGTTCTAATTCTATTTTTTTTTTAATTTAGATTCTTAACAGAAAAAGAAATTAAAAACAAGCTTTCTGTAACACAATAAACAATCTATTTTTCAAAGTAATGCAAACATTTTTTGATGTGTGTACTTCTATTGCATCGTTATTAATATCGCAGCAGTGTGTAACTTCGTAACCGTTCTCATACATAATATACTAAAAACAAATATCGCAAAAACGCATCCGTAAATCGACTGATAATAACGTGTCTATGGGTGAGGAGGCCTAACTTTTGCTTCGTCCGCATCAGATTACTTAATCAAAACTCTTTTTTTTTTGTTCTGTAATCTAAAATTTTCCGCTTTGAAAGTATCGCACAAAGAGATCGATAAATTTAGCTAAGGGCGCTAATTAGACCATTAAATTAATAGTTATATGTCTAAGTACATGAATTTCTGCATTCAAATGCTTAAGTTTAAAAATATATATACTATAAACATATTTTGGTACCTTTTTTCAAAACAAAATTTAAAAATAACAATGTCTAAAACATAATTTAACTATATGACCAGTTTTTTTTTTAAAGAAAACTTTAGGTTAGTTTAACTTTTAATATTTTAAGATAGAATTTATGATACTCGTAGCAGTATCAACATCGCCTGTATAAAATTTAAAGCAAAAAAAATACTTTTTCAAAACAAGCTTTTATTTAAAAGCCCTAAAAAGAATAAAATAAAATTTTCCTTTAAAACTTTTACTATGAACTTTTAACGTCATTACACAAATTATATTATATAAAAGCTTGTCGCGAGATTTACCTGTGTAGATACACAAAATTTTACTGGATTTTCTTTTTTTTAAAATTTTCATATTATAACTACCAGTATCTACTGAAATGTGGCGACAATCTTTCATATTATATAAATTGTGTAATGACGTTATAAGTTCATAGTAAATTATTTGAAGGAAAATTTTATTTTATTCTTTTTAGAGCATTTAAATAAAAGTTTCCTTTTAAAAAGTTTAATTTACTTTTAGCTATCGATGGACATAATCGAGAACTTCTAAGACCACATATTCTCAGCTACTCTTCGCATTTTATACCCATATTATAGGATAGCATAAAAAACTTAGGCCGACATATTTTAAAGTCTGCCATATTGGATTTAAGATAACGTTACTTTATTTTTCGAGTTATTCTCAGCAAGTCCTTTAATTTGATACCCTTATTTTAGAAAAACATAAAAAATAAATAGTCTGCCATCTTGTGTGTTCCGCCATATTGGATTTAGAAGGACGTCACACAACTCACCATGCATCCACACTAAACGTGTGTACAATATTTCAGCACAATAGAATTAAGAAATCTGCTTCAAAATTGAGTTGTTAGATTCCACCGGAACAAACAAACATACATACATTGCAAGTAAAAAAAGCTATTAAAAATAACAAGCCATTACGACATAGATCCTTAGCTCTAATCTATTGCTTTAATAATTAGTGATTAAAGTCGTAATTAATTAATTATGTTTACCAATTATCTTATCCGACCTACGTGCCGCTACTATCTTATTATAAAACCATTGCTTTAGGCTAGCCGGTGTGTCAAAACAACACAAATTGCTTACATTTCTTTTTATCTTCAAAGATTCAAATAAAATAAAACTAGTTTTAACGGGTTAATGCACGAACTTTATTTATTTATTGACGTTTCGCAGTCTTTTCAGGTCTGCATCGTCAATAAGGTAGGACCAAGACCTCAGAATATTCTGACGATGCAGACCTGATAAGGCTGCGAATAAATAAATAAAGTTCGTGCATTAACCCGTTAAAACTAGTTTTATTTTAATACAATTGAGTGATGTGCATGAAAACCTAAGAAACAAATATTCAAAGATGCAATTCCCGATTGATTAAAAAAGAAATGAAATCTAGTAAAAGTACTACTCTAGTAATCTAAATATATGTATAAAAGAAGAAACTGACTGACTGACATATCAACGCACAGCCCAAACCTCTGGGTCTAGACACTTCAATTTGGCACGTAGGTTTCTTATGAGGTCTAGGGGTGCACTAAGAAAGTTTATATAAAAAATCTTATTCCTTGAGTTATCTAAATAAATTATAGAGTTTGTCATTTATAGCTTTCTCTACTAGACCAATCTACTTAGTTTATATTTCAGCATTCCTCTAACAGCGTTATGCATGTTATTCAAATAGGCCTCATTTTATTTTTGTACCAATTCCTTAATACCTTTAAATTGTCCCTCCATCAATATTTCTCATAAAATTTCTTTTTGAACAAGAAATTAATGATATAAAAGGGCAAAAAACTTGAGGGAAATTTAAATATTTGAAAAGCGATGAGAGCAGTTGTGACGTAAAAATATATAACTACCAACAAACAAACGCGATGTTACAGGATATGCCAATGTCAACGAGATTATAGTTCGAGAGCGTTCCACCTAGAAACCAAGTATAACTTTTCACTATGATATTTATATTTTTACCAAATATGTATGAAACATAATGTCCATTTGATTGACATAAGTTCCAACTTCCATCCGCAGTGAACGTATGGAATGCAATATTTCAGTATCTTGTAAGGTCATTATTGATCTTGTTCATAGCTTTACCGTGATATCCCATCCAAGCGTTCCAAAATAGCGCGCGTTTAAACTGCCTGTGCAAACTGGCTATTTTAATCAGTTTTTCAGACCCCAAACTATTTATTTCGACGTTGATTTTTTATGCTGTTTAAAGGGGATGTAAAAAAATCATGCATATTTACTTTTAAAGAAATATTAACATTAATCACAACAAATAATCTTAATATTGAGTGTCAATCAAGGATGTAACTTCCTTGATTGAAAATGTCTTTAATAGGAAATATGCATGATTTATTTTATATTTTTATTTTTTCTGGGGAATTCATAAATTTAGCGGATAGGGTATCACAAAATTACTGATATTTTTAGGTAATCAAAACGTCAGTATTTTTTTTATATTTTATTCAAATTGCTTCGGTTCGTGTTGTATGTTTGAGAGTTCTTAGTGTTGCGGCTGATCTTGAACTCACAATCTCGACTGAAATAGACCAAAAAATGTTTTAAATCACTAATCCAAAATCGACGCATATTTGTCCTACTTACTTGTGCCTATATATATATATGACAATTATGTTCGTAGTTATTTAAATATAACTTTCTTGCTTTTAATTAAGCGGTTTGCTTACAAACTGCAAATACTCCTTTACTTGTGTTACTAGGCATTGCAATAGCTAGTTCAATGTGAATTAATTTTTAATTTTAAATTAGGTTTTGATTTCCTTGAGATCGTTAAAAATTAAAGCAAAAATGGTATATAAACGGCCGTAACTTTTGATTACTTTGACTTGGAAGTTTGTTTTTAGTACTCCAAGGGATTGACACTTTAATACTTGATTGTTTTAATACTAATTTCAACTTGATAATTCCATGTCTTTCTGAGGAAGCTCTTGACAGAACCAATTAACAGAATAAAAAATGATCCAATAAAAGTACCGATTTTTCTTTAGGAACCAAACCCTCTAACGATCAAAATTAAGCTTACGACGTTTCAGATAATATAGCATTTCCAAAAAAATACTAACCTCTTGGCCTTGGTGAATAGCAAGCATCATGTCGTAATCATTAGCTCCGACCGAGATTCGAGCTCGACCATCATTGCCAACTGTGACTATCTTGCCTGTGCAGCTATTACCACTTCTGACGCCAGATATTACGTCGCAATAACTTCCAGCCGGGAGACAAGTCTGAAGAAAAGCACAGTAGTCAATATTCGCAACAAACGAGCGCAAAATTAATATAAATCTAATAGAATAATAAACTAGGTACCTGCAAATTTTCGTTTAGATCCCACTGGTCGTTATTAAATGCAATGAAACCTTGCCCGCCGCGGCAGAAGGCGATCTGATTGCTACCGTTATCCCACCAGTTACTCAATGCGGCATTACCAGCAACATTCCTGAATCTAACCATCTGGTAAATCTGCCTCCAACGATGTTCACAAATCCATCCATTGCCACAAGTGTTATCCTATAAGATTAAAGCATTAATATTAACCAAACAATTATTTAACTGTATTACAGCAAATAACCTGGAGATAATGTTCAAAATCCTATGACTTACGGAGTTAATAGATGGCGTGATAATGTTGCCAGTGCTGTCCATGGGTGGGCCAGCTTCAGTGTCATGGAAAGCAAAGCTGCTCATGAGTTGTGGCTCTCCATAAGGATGAGCCAACATAAAAGCGATTGCTGCCTTGTATGGTCTAGCCTGTTTGTAAGTGAGAATGTTACCTCCGGCACCATGACCTCTTTGGTTATCGTGATTGTCAATAAAAACAAGAGCGTCAGAATGAGCCAGGAGATTCCACTGGGGTCCCCAGTTGTGAAGCCACCTCAACTGGTTACCTCGCTGGAAAGCACTGCTAAGCTCCATGCCGAATTTGAATTCGGTGACAGCAGCAAGAGGGGTATATTCATCGCGACCGACAGCTTCTCTACCAAGATCAATGACTTCTTGGAAGATGTAAGGGCGGGCACCAGCTGGGAAACCATGTGCTGTATTCAAATTGTGTAGCCTATCATAGATAACTTGAAGATCGCCAGGCCACATGTGTTTGGCTGCGTCAATTCTGTAAGTCAATATAGAGATGGTATTTTATATTCTTCCTAAAGTTTAATTTAAAAATATATGAAGCTGATACAGTTAACATTTTTATGATAAACAATGTGGATGTGATAAGTATAAAAGCTACCTGAAACCAGCGACACCTAGATGAATGAGATGGTTCATGTAGTCAACAATCATCCGACGAACATGTTCGCTTCCCTGATTTAAATCTTTCAAACCGGAGAGCTCACAATTGCGAACCTGCAATAATGAGGCTTACATTAGCATATAAATTAGGTTTCACAAAAAATCCACTCGCAATCATTCAGACACGAATACTAACTCTGTCTGGACAGCATCCGTAGTCCTCAGGCTGGATGACGCACTGGGGCCAATTGAAATCGTTACGTCCAAAGGGCACAGCTGGGTAATGCCACTGACCAAAGTTAGCAGTGCTTCCACCAGTACCGACGTTTTCATTCCATGTACCAGTCATGTGATTTATGATAGCATCCACATAAATTCTGAAAAAATACACTTGCGACATAAGTCATAAAAAAACTTTAATATGAATTGTGACGTATTTTTGATCGAATTTGTGGTGAAATTGAGTGTGGGAGCATTGTTTTCTTGAAAGGTATGTATGAATAAAGTTGTTATGTAAATATCTGTTTTTATGATTATCGGTACTTCTTAAAATAGCTTAATTAATTAAATCTATTTATAATCAAGATAATAAGGTAAAATTAAGATAGTAGCAAGATAACATTTAGAGGACACTGTTTAACGGACGTCAGCGCTAATTAATCTTCCAAATAACTATCACGAACTTCACAATAAAAATGAAATTCACAAAGAACCAAAAAATATGTGTATATACCTATATAGCATATTTTATTGTAAATATCCTTCATTCGGTAATGTAATAGGTACAACATGTTTTATAAATATCTTTAATTACAAAAAAGTAGAAATTTAGTGCATCGCGAAGTAAGTTATTAATATAGTTTTAAAATCCTTAATTTAGCTTTGTGCTTTGTTTTCAAACTTCGTACAACAAGTCAAAGAGACTGATCGCACTGCCGTCAAATCAGATTCATCTCAATATGTCACAGCACAATGAAGCTTAGCTTCGTCCGATGTAGTATTTGTCAACATACTACGGGACTTTACTAAATTGAATGCAACACAGCTTTAAAATAGGGTCCGTATTTCTTTATGCATGTAGCCGTCCGCTACTTTGATCACGTTTAATTTTGGTTTTTTGAGAATCCAACCCAAACTATACGTGTGCCAAATTTCATCCAAATCAATTAAGACGCTTCTGTGTAATTGATTAGAAAGCATAAAAACTTTCACATTTATAATATTAGCAGTTGCCCTCTACTTTGGCCGCGTTAACTTTAACATTTTTTCTGGAACATCTTTCACATTTTAGTAGGATTGTAGTACCTGACACCAGCAGTGTTACATCTTCTGACCATGTTGGCGAATTGTTGTTCGTTTCCAGAGCGGGTAGTCAGCCGGTAGGATATAGGCTGGTATCGTTCCCACCATGGGCGATTATGTGACCAGATAACCAGATTCTCATTGGGAGGTGACACCTGTTAGTAAAAAATATTTTAATACACCACAACAAAACAAATTGATGACTTAAATGCTGATATAGATCTGCACTCTACAAAGCAAGCCTTTGTACCGTTGTAAACCAATTAAATTCGGATTTCTGTCCTTATCCTATTGACGTTGCAGAGACATTGGTATTTTGGTCAAACTTTATTTGTATATGTTATGTATATTTATTTTAAAATCCTCCAAATCAAGCTGGGTGTGAAGTTGTTGTAAATTAATATAATATTAATAATAAAAATATTTATACAATTTGTTAACGAAATTCCTTGTTTTCAAAAAAAAACTATTTTTAATCACCTAAATAGCTGACCTATATGTCTGTCTGTCGATGCAATTGAAATAGTAACACATCAAAATTTTACTTACTTGAATACCACCGAATCCCCGCGGCCCTAACCACCTTTCACACTCGGCAGCGATGTCGTTCCACTTCCATTCGAAGAGATGGACCATGGTAGACCGACCAGGTGCATAATGGGGGTTTTTGTAGCCATAGGCTAAAGCCGCAATTGCTAGTAAAAGGATGATACGGAACATTCTGCAATGATAATAAAGTAGGAACTTAATATAAACACTATACACAAATCGACGTTACATAAAACATTACAGTCATTATTTCTTAATAATTTAGTTCAATGTTTTGATATGTATACATATTTTTCCAATTAGTAAGTCATTTTTGTTTGCAAACTACATAAAATTAATAAATGCATTTCAATAAATATTATAAAGAGCAAAAGAGTGTGAAAATAAATAAATAAATTTAAGTCTTGGCAAAAATTAATATAAATAATCACAAAATCATGGTTATCCACAAAATATTTGGTTGAACAATGAGTAGTGTAGTAAGTAAATTCCTATCTATTAAAATTAAAAAAACACACTCGATTTAATTACAATCAATAAATTTACCTGAATAGATGTACCAAGACCTCCCAGAGACTTTCTGATTACTTTGATAATGGCCTCGCACGATGAGCAGCTTTATATACCCATTGATAAAACATAAATTTTCTGCCTCATTTTATCTGTCGTAATACAATTATTTAATCCTAGATAGTGCCGATTGTTTAATTGATATATATTTTAAATCAATCCAAAGTGAATCGTCACATAAACATCAATTTAATGCCTAAAAACAAAACCCCTGACACCCAAAAATAATAAAAAAAAATAAAAAATAACCCTTCCACTTTATTTTAAGTACTTACTAATAGCCCCACACATCGCCAAGTCGGAGGACTGCTTAAGAATTAGATTCATTATTGTTGCCAGGTATAAGAATTCGAAAAACTTTTTTGTTTGGTGCTATTTGTCATCGCAGTCCCCCGACTTGCTAATGTCTGGGTCTAACTATTACTAAGTTGTTAAAATAAAGTTTAAGGGCCAACACAGTTTATTTATTTTTAGATTATTTTTGTGAGGGGTTTATTAAAATTTCTATTTCAATATTTTAAATAAATCAAAGTAATGTAAAAATAGTTAATTCAGTATGCTGTTACAAGCACTTGTGTAAGTCGAGAAGCTACGCCATCGGTTATCAAATTATGGCAGGAGATCATGTACTGAAAAGAACCAGCAAGAAACTCACTTTTCCTTCCTGTATTATTATATACAATCGTCAAGTACATGAAAAAATGAATTCAGAGACAATTCACGAAGTCACCTTCCGTCACCTACAAATTTAGAACATACAATTAACAAACAAGTGAGCTTAAATTTTTAGTATAGGAAGTGGCTTCAGTTACCATATTATAGTTATGAAGACTGTTTAATAGCCATACCATTACAAATATATCTGATGATTATCTTAATGATCGCATCTTAAAATTAATATTTTATAATATAGCCCCTAAGATTTTTTTGATGTGAGATTTAAGTTTGGGGAATATTTATTGAACAGTGCAATAAATACTACAAGCCAAAAGTGTGCAAACACAAAAACCATCATATTATATTATATCTTAGCATCATTATTAATAAAACATATTTTTTTAACATAAAAATAGCACACACAATACTACACGATTCGGCAAGAGTGCGCGAGATGGCAGCAAACGGCCATTTGCACCAGAGGCAGTATATATTCTGTGCCAGAGGGCGCCATTCATCAACATCATTATCAGTCTATTAATGTCCCCACTGCAGGAACACAAGCTAGTGATATTAAATAATAATGGTCTAAGTATGATATAAAATAAATAAAAACCAAAGTAATTATTTCAGCGGTTTTATTTTAACCATTGTTATATTTATTGTTATATTATTATATATATTCAAATATATATTTAATATTATAGTATATATTTATTTTAACTCTCACTCTCACTTGATTTCGTCACTCCAGTTACAATCTCGACTGGAACAAATAAATACAGATTAGTTTCTCATTGCTATATTTAAGTCTTGGATAAGATCCACCAAAACCGCTTCCTTTATAGGAGAGTTACAAAAATGATGTTCAAGGTTTAATGTTGACAGTCTCAACCACTAACTTACGATGGTTGTACATATGTACAATGAACTTGTTCCAAATAAATGATTACTATTATCTTGAATATTAAAGTCCTCCCATTGTATTTAATACTTTTTTCTAACTAGTTTGTGTTTTTTTTATGTTCAAAGTCGTACAACGGTACGAGTGACATTTTTAGTATCGCAAGCGTCTGTTGGCCAAGATGGCCGTTTACCATCTGGCGGGCCATCCGTTTATTTGCGACCCCTTTTAACATAAAAAAAACACAAACTAGTTAGGCAACGGCCTACCCTACCCAATCCCCTACCCCGTGAAGCCTTGGGACCTCACTTACTGATAGAATCAAAGCACCACCAAAAGGTAGTTTTATTTTACTGTTATTTCCTGTATGGTGGAGGTTACTTCCCTAGACAGAAGCAAACAGGAAATCTGCTAAGCCCTATACCTCTCTTAACTTACCATGTATTTTTCGTTACGCGTTTTAAGCACGACCTTGTGTTAAATCGTGTAGGTCCTTATTGGTAAGGAACCCTTCATCACCCCTACCCCATGGAGCGCTGGAACCTTACTATCCGACAGAAACACAACACCACCAAATGATAGTGTTATTTTACTGTGTTCTTATGCTTGTGTAATATCAAATTATAAATGATCTAAGCTTAATATGAAATGTTTTAATGTAATGTCTTTAATATAGAAAAATATATACCTTTAATATACTATATTTTATCTGAAAACTATTGCTTACGAATTATCTGTTTATTTCGAAAAATATTAGTAGTACAATTTTCAAAATATGAAAATCAATGTTTGAAATACCATAATTATTATAAATAATCAGCATTCTGTGAATTACCTGTTCTCCTCGGTGGATGGCAATAACCATATCGTAATCATTAGCTCCCAAGGAAATATGTGCGCGGCCATCGTTGCCAATTGTGATAGTCTTGCCCGTACAGCAGTTGCCTCTCTTGAAACCCGAAATTACGTCACAATATCTACCAGCAGGAAGACAAGTCTAAAAAAGACAATAATTTATTAAAAAGGTTAATTAAACACCATCAAATTGTGCTTTACTTAAACAGAAATATTTCTTTATCAAAATCTTAAATGAAATAATTTAATAAAGCTAAATTAGGAAATATGTTTTTTTTATCATCTAATACATACTTATTAGCATAGCCCCAAAGTAAACCCTAAGGCTTGTGATATGGGATACCAGGGTAGCTAATATATATATTTGTATAAGTAACTTTTGATAGAAATATATATAAACAGTCAGAACTTGGGTAAAAATGCTCGTAAACATCATACAAACGTTAACTCTGAGTAGGCAACACCTTTAAAACGGGTGAACATTCCACTCACATCACGGAATCGTCATTATATTTACCTGCAGAGTTGCATTTAAGTCCCATGAGTCCTTATTAAACGCGACGAAACCTTGGCCACCTCGGCAGAAGGCAATCTGGTTGCTGCCATTATCCCACCAGTTGTTAAAAGTAGTGCCAGCAGCAACATTCCTGAATTGTATCATTTGGGCGATCTGGCGCCAGCGATGCTCGCATACCCATCCGTTACCACAACTATTATCCTAAAAAAATATTAAACTTAGTCATGTTAAACAGATTATTTACCAATAGATCATTATGAATAATTGACAGAACTTACAGTGTTAAAAGAAGGAGAGATAATATTGCCACTGTTATCCATTGGCGGTCCAGCTTCGGTGTTATGGAAGAAGAAACTGCTCATCAGCTGAGGCTCACCGTAAGGATGGGCCAACATGAACGCAATAGCCCCCTTGTACGGTCTAGGTTCTCTGTGAGTGAGGATATTACCTCCAGCACCATGGGATCTCTGATTGTCATGGTTATCGATGAAGACAAGGGAATCGGAGTGAGCAAGAAGACCCCATTGAGGTCCCCAGTTGTGAAGATATCTCAATTGGTTACCACCTCCAAATGCTCTACTTAGTTCCATGCCAAATTTGAAATCAGTGACAGCAGCAAGAGGAGTGTATTCATCACGACTGACGGCTTCTCCTCCGAGATCAATGACTTCTTGGAAGATGTAAGGACGGGCACCAGCTGGGAAACCGTGCGCTGTATTCAAGTTATATAGTCTATTATAGATTACACGAAGATCCCTAGGCCACATGTGTTTGGCTGCGTCAATTCTAAAAATTAACAAAATAGCTAATTTATAAGTGCATGCAAACTTTCAAAAGATTTAAAGATGATATTTTTATACCTAAAACCAGCAACTCCCATATGAATAAAACGGTTCATGAAACCAACAATCATTTGGCGTACATGTTCAGTTCCTTGGTTCAAGTCTTTTAAGTTAGACAATTGACAGTTGCGTACCTACAAATGTAATAGAATGATAAAATAATATCTAGTAAAAATATTCAAAATTGCATTCCTTTTTGCCATGGATTTAAGAAGTTAAGAATCTTTGACAAAGATCGGTCACTGAAAGGTTGACTGATGGGATGGGATGGTCAAAAATTAACTATCTAGAATTTCCTCGTACCTCCCGTATGGATTAGCAATTGTCAAGTTCTTATCAATTTTAACTAGATCTGAACAATTCCAAAGCAAACAAAGGGAAGGCCATTGCTGCAGTAGGGCAATAAGAGCATAGTATTTACTTACTCTGTTAGCGCAGCATCGGTAGTCACTTTCTTGAATTTTACACTCCGGCCAGTTGAAGTCGTTTCTCCCGTATGGCACAGCAGGGTAATGAAAATTGTTAAAGTCAGCGCTGTTTCCTCCAGTACCAACGTTTTCACTCCACGTACCAGTCATGTGATTTATGACAGTATCTACGTAGATTCTAAAAAGAGATTTTTTCTATAGAAGAGTAATGTTGGATTCATAATAATAAGGCTCAGATTAAATGTTTTAATCTAAGTAATAGGGATATTTTTTTTTTGCAGCACATGAACGAATCAACTTGATTTGAATCGACAACAGCCAAATTTTCTAAGCTTACCTGACACCAGCGTTGTTGCACCGCCTGACCATACTAGCAAATTGCTGTTCGTTACCAGAACGAGTAGTGAGCTGGTACGACATGGGCTGGTAGCGCTCCCACCAGGGTCGGCGTTTTGACCAGATGACAAGATTCTCATTGGGAGGTGATACCTGAAAATAATTATGTTGTTGATTGAATATTTGAACTTATGAGACGCCGAATGTGAATAATATTTTCCCAGATATTATTCCCAATGTGTCCATAGTGACAGAATTATTATCTGTGCAGGAAAAGCTATTCTTGTCATTGTTTTTCATTCCCATTCTGCTTAGTGTAAGTCTTGGTAAAACTGTACTTTCAGGGCCCAAGAGGTGATACTTGATTTTTTTTTGAAGAAAAGGTCTCTTTTAAGAAAATAACCTAACCTAGTATGAAGTATCACCACTTGGGCCCTGGAAGTACAGATTATCGTAAGTCTTGAAGATTCTATCAATTCCTTACTGTTCTTAAAAAAGTTTCTAAACAATATTAGGTTTACTTGTCACTTACCTGTATACCACCATATCCATGAGGACCTAACCAATTTTCACACTCAGCTGCGATGTCATTCCACTTCCACTCGAAAAGATGGACCATAGTAGACCGGCCGGGTGCATAGTGGGGGTTCTTGTAACCAAGGCCCAAGGCCGAGACCGTCAATACGAGGAGGATTCGAAACATCCTGAAAAAGAGTAGCTTTTACAACAAAGTTAAAAAAAAAATGAAGACCCAGCAAATTGCAACACACTCACTACCTAACCAGATGTTACGTGTGAGTGAAGTTCGGCTTTAGCTACTCTCATTTTGCCATTTTGATGCCTCCTATGTACTATGGAAATCCTAATATCTCCCCTAGGGTGGCCGTTAGGACAGACAACTGTCCGAAGGGCAATTTCCCTACCCCTTGGAGCTCAAAAAATCTTACTTATTCAGAAACATTTAATTGCAGAGTATTGTTATTTAACTAGAGATTTGTGTAAGATACAAATTATTCACCTTACACATGGTCTCCGATTCGAGCAGAAAATTAACTTTACCCCAAAATATGTCATATAGTATTAAATTTCCATAAAAAAAAAATATTAAACTCTCAATATATAATGATGATTTAGAAACATTTTTAAAAGTATTAATATTACTTACTTCAAGGTTGGTTCTGGACCTTTCGTCAGTGAAGCTTGTCAGTGAAGTTTCTGTTGAATACCAATTACCAACAAATCATAACTTTTATACAAAATTCTAAATTAAAAAAAATCAATATCGTTTATTCAGTCTAGGCACAAAGACAAATAGATAAATGACCACAACGCTATCATCGCCGCACGCATATTTTTTTTTCTAAATGTGGGTACATAGGTACTTAAATATTTATCAATGGCACTTCTTCGGTACGTGAAACGTTAGACAAATTGAAAACAAAGTATTGATACAGAAAGTTAGCTTTTTCAGTAAGTATACAGAACAATAATTTTAATAACATATAAATGATTTCATTGGTTTTTTCATCCTGAAAATGGAATAAAAAGAACTCAAATTAATTAAAACAAGTATTTCTTACACTCTCACCTACCCTAGCCCCAAAGTAAGCACTGGCACTATAGGTATATTATTTTAACAATATATATCAACAACCATAACTCTGACAAAAGCTTCAATTCATTATGCAAATATTTGCTCCTACTGGGATTCAAATCCAGGACCGCAGTGAGGTACTGTAACTCACTGCGGTCCTGGAAGACCCCCTTGCGTTACGACCTCTTTGCTTGTGTAAACTCTTTGTTTATGTAATGCCTACGGCGGCTAGCAGATGTATTAAAAAGTTAATTTCACTCTTATAAAGATTTGAAATTTTGAATCTTCTGTCTTTTGATGGAAAATTCCAGCAGATAGAATTCAGTCACAATAACGAAAAGGCCTAAAAGTTAAATAATATTATATTCGCCCTGAATTCAAATAAAAGTAAATCAAAAGTCTTATTAGTTATCATTTACTACCTTCTGAGTTTACCCCCCAGGGCTTCCCTTCAGGTTAGGCCTTACAGTACCCTGAGGTCCTGAGTTAATCCACCTTGAAAACCGTTATACTATTATAATCTACCACGAAGGTCGTAAAATACAAATAATAGACATTTAAATACTATATGGAAAGGCATACCAAAGATCTAGGACAAATGTACATACGCTCGAAAAACATTGCCCTCTTTACTTCGGCAGTCAGGTAAAATTCTCATATGCTGTATAACGTTCAAGTTTTTGTTTTTGCAATAATAATAATTATCTTATCAATATTTACTAGAGGTACGTGATACACAGTTACCTACCTTCGAGTTTATAATATTAGTAAGTATGATGATGTATCATGCGTCATGCTCGTGAACGGGTGCTGCCAGTGGAGATGAGTCTCGCTCTTGCTTCAATGGGTACCTACTATTAATCGTTGTACTAAACTTTAATCGTTCATTATTATTTTTTTGCCTAAACAGTAGGACACGGCATTCCTAAACTTGGTTAAACCAGTTTCTTATATTTATTTTATTTTATAGTCATATTTTTTATATTATTTGCATTTTTTATTTGTAATGGAAAGTGACTTTATGAGTTAGCTCATATTGAAGTCATTTTTCAATTTGACGACTCTGTATATAATACAGGAAGAAAAAAACTACCCTTGCTGAGTTTCTTACCGGTTCTTCTCAGTACAAGGTCACCCGCCGTAGATTTGCGAACCGATGGCGTAGCTTTTCGACATTCACAAGTGCTTGTAACAGCCTAGACTGAATAAACGATATTGAATTTTGAATTGAATTTTAAATTTTGAACAGCCTATATATAACATTTTCTCGATTTAATTAACCATGACATAAAAGTAGGAATAAAAGGGTAAGAACAGAGTTTACTTTATTTTACAGATTTTTATCCCTTTTGTTCCTTCTTCGTCGTAGTTTACCTGGTGCAGTATTGCTCAGTGACAAAATAAATATTGTTACGTGTTAGGATGGGGTTCGAAATTATATGCCAATTCACGCTTGACAGTTCTTTATTCAACACAAAGTTCACAATGTTAATCACAATACACACACTAAACACTGTGTTTCACTATGCAAGTCTTTAAAAAAACCCCTTTGTACAGTTTACTTGCACTTTGATCATCTTTGTATTCGTTCCGAAATCGCTGTTGAAACTCGGCAGAGAAACATTATTCACAAATTGATAGGGAGGCGCTCGCGATTGTGTTTTGCTTACAAAAGTTACATCATTACTTGTATGGCAGGCGGTTTACGCTTAGGACGGATCATAAGCCCTTAGTTAGCATTTTCGGATCTAAACATGGGATACCTACAATGGCCGCCAGTCGTATGCAGCGCTGGGCGTTTATAATGTGTGCCTATACTTATGATATAGAATACGTAAACACGAAACAAATCGCAGCGGACGGATTATCGCCGGTCGACGTTAGTGGGGATAGGAGTAAGGACTTGTCACTCGAGCCGCCAGAGCAAATGTATTTGCATTTTGCACAGAATGAATTATTGTTATTAGATTATAATGATATTAAACAACAAACTTCACCCGATCCATTTTTAAGCAGAATATTGTTATATCTTCGGGAAGGCTGGCCTGAAAGTAACGAAATTAAAGAGTTACACCGTACTTTAATAGAAAAAAAAACCCGTCTGCTAAAATATAACTTAATATAAAAACTGAAAATATAAAAAACAAGTCCAGTAGTCTATAATTCTGTTAAGTAAGGTAAGTAAGTTAGATATTCAAGAATGGATAAAATTTTTCAATAATGGGTCCCGACTATTAAAGTAGCTTTGTTCCTTACTTAATAGAATTATAGACTACTGAACTTCTTTTTTTTATTTTCAGTTTTTATATGAAGTAATATTTTAGCAGACGGGATTTTCGATTTTTAAATTTATCATTTTTATTTCACACTTTTTCGTATTATAACCGTATACCATATACCGTAGTCTTGTCATTTAAGTAAGGGAATCAATATTGCGGGAATTATTAAGTACCTTGCGGTGGTTTTAGATCGATTGATTTTTGATAGTAATTATATTTAATTCAATATCAAATTACGGGGTAAACCTGCGTTGTTTTTTTGGAAAACTCACCGAGGTTAGATGTATTTTTGATAATTAATAAGATGCAAAATCAAAATTCTAATACATTATGTTACAACAAAAACATATTTCTGATGTAGTTGTAATTTATTTGATTTAATTTATTAATTATTATTTAGAGAATTAGGCGTTTGAAGTTGTGCATATTATCGTTTTTTCCGTAAACTAGCTGCGGTAGAACGATCAGTACAAAAAAAGAAAAAAAGTATTTGCAGATATTCTACATTAACTTACAAAAGCAAGAATAACTCTACTGTTTACTTTTATTGAAAATAGTCAAAATCTTTTCTAAGGGGGTAAACGAGGCGCTCAAAAATTACAATTTTTTGCAAAAAATGTGAAAGGGCTCTTAGGGGAAAATGCGTTAACCCTAAGAGTAGGGCATCTTGAGCTGCCCGCGCGTTTTGTATTGACAGCCATTCGCTACATTAGGAAAGCATCTATTAAAGGCGTGTAATTATCTATTCATGTAAATCAATGAAAACAGCATTTTATCGAAAAACAGTATTCATTTTTTTAAACTTTTTCCTACGTTTTTTGTTGTGTATTTTGTATGCCGCACATTGGCATGATATTAAGATTAAAACTCTTACTCAGTCCGAGAATACGAAATTATCCTTTTGCAATAGAATTTGCTGTATTTCACAATGAAGTGAATCAGTTCATGCATGCGAGCAAAAGAAATAAACTTGGACAACATTACTTACATTATAGATAATTTGCTTCAATCCCAAGTATCTTTAGCAAAGCTAAGCTGCTATCACAGAAGTAAAAAATATAGCAGTTGTTGATGTTGAAGTTCACTCGCAGCGCTTACAAGTTACAACTTACATTTATTACTTAGGGTGATTTAGTATAACATAACTTGTTACTTACTTGTTCTAGCATGTAATATTATGAAAGCTTAATTTATCGGGAATTCCTCTTAAAATTGTAGAGCCTACTTATCTGTGATAGTTTTCCTTTTATTTTGACATACCACTCCATAATCTCGCACGTCCAGAAACAACCATTTAGTTGGCAGGGGGCATCCACAAAGCTTTAACAAAAATGACAACTTTAAAGTTTAACAGCTTTTTACAAGTGCTCAGTATTATTAAAATACCTAACCAATGACACCCCAGTTCACTGTTCATCCCACACCATGGTAGGGTCGACGCGACGAGAGAAAAAATCTTTTTTACAACAAAAATAAAAACCGACTTCATAAAAACAAAATTGTTCCTCAAAATAGAAGAGGTTCTCAATTCATCAGTATACTTTATTAATGTTGTTCGAGAATATCTCCAAGATGCGTGAACCGTTTTTATGATTCCTCTCATAGATAAATGAATGCTTCACTGAAGCGAGACCAATCATTCATCTAATCATAGAGCTCTTTTGTTTGAATCAGTTTTTTGGCGATATGTTCCTGTATTCATTTAGTGAAGATCAGATTCGAATACTTTCGGATTAAACAACACAACTTACGAATAGTAGGTATTTTTTATTTTTGGTTTTTTAAAGAAATATGATGGTAAAAAGGTAAAGATAATGTTATAGCCAGGTACCCACTTTTAAGGACGTATTTTCAAATGTAGTACCCTGGGTAACTCACAAATTACACGATTAACTCACTATTACCATTTTGTCGGCGTTGTATATTATTATTTAATCTATGCTAAATTACAGCTTTCTAATACTAAAAGTCTCTGAGCTGAGCTGTTGACAGATGGACGAACTAACATGGCGAAACTATAAGGGGGACCCCTGTTGACTAAATAATCCTGAGATATGTGCCCAATATCTTGAGCTGAACGAACGTAAATTTGTTCTTTCTTTCAGTCATTCGTGTCACTCATATAAAGCATTGAAGAAGGTTGGCACAGCCAAGCATCTATAGCAACAATTGTGATATTATTCCCATGTACAGACATACATCAAAAATCTTGTTATTATCAATTAGACCACCCACAAGTCACAATAATGTAGATATGGTCAGGACACCCGAAGACTAATAAAGATCGTATGGGTTTTCACCTAATGATAAAAACAAATTATCGATGTACTTACACAACATTTTAATCTGATAGCGAGTAAGTGTGGCATATCTTGGCCACCATCACAAGCTTAAATCTGATCGTGTAGATAATATACCGTACATTACTGGAAAAAGTTGGCGGTGTGCAACTTTTATTTGATTAATCGCGGCCTAGACTAGTGCCGTGCGCCGGCACTTGTAGCCACTTTGGAGCGCTGAACACCGCTTGTGTATCATTTCATGTTTGCCATGAAAATATGTTATTAAAGTTATGGTAAAGGATTTTTAGGGTTTAATTTAAATTGTTAACTTCTCAGTATTTTCGGTGTGTGCGCTGCGTTAAGTATTAACTTGAAACGTTGTATTATCATAATCAGCATATTAATGTTCCAACTGCTGTGGCACCAGAGGCCTTCCCTACAAACGCGACAGGGAATATCGTGAATTCGTGATCCACACGCGGGCTTAACGCATTTCCACTATACTTAAGTAGGTATAACAAAAGTTCCTCTTGTGAACCATATGCTTTTATAATAAAAGGTTGGCAAACAAGCATATAGCCTGCTTGATGGTAAGCGGCCATCATAGCCTATACCAAATCTATCACTAGTACCGTTGCATATCCTGATCCAATCCCCTACACAGTAGATCCCTGGAACCTTACCCACTGACAGAAATTCAACATCACCAAAAATTTTTTCCACACCCTGAGTTTACACTATCGAATTTTTCATACGGAACCCTAACTTTTTTGAAAATAGTCTATAGGCTATGTTCGTCAGGGATAATGTAGGATTCTAACACCCGGTTTCTGAAACGCATGTCATCGAAAAAATTACGTAACAAGTTGTTAATCTCTATTTAAATGCACTTTGGGTTTCTCAATGAGCCAAGTGACAGTTTGTCAATGATTTGTTGTTGCAAATGTCAAATCTCGAATTAATGGCCGATTGCGGTAGTTTTTGGTTTCCGGAAAGCTTTTTTGTATGTCAACTGCATGTTAACGTTTTGTTGTGTTTTAATAAGTAATTGGTGAAAATTGATCAATTAACAGACTGTCAAAAGAAATTTTACTGATATTTTGGTCAGAGGATTGTTGTAGTGGTAGTAAAAAATGTTGTCAGATTTATCTGTTGACGATATATCCCTATCTAGTGACGAGGAAGATCTGGCACCAACTCGCCAGTTCCGGAAACGAATAAATCCTGTAATTCATTACAATGGTGAAGAATTTAAGGATCGCTATTCAAAATCTGTTTTCCATCAAATGGGAAAACTGACACACCTGGAACTTGAAACGAACAATTATCTCTTATCTATTAGACAAGTCCGTCCGTCCGTCCGTCCGTGGTGCTGTTTCAGCGGCCAAACCGTAAGAGATAGATAAAGAGAATGTTTAAGTTATAAGTTGAGAATAGTCTGATAAGACTACAAACCGGATGTGAGTAACGTAGCACTTCCGGTTTTCGAGAAATCACGTGATTTCTATTTCAAACGAAACCACACAAAATCTCCGAAGTTCTCAATTAATTAAATACATTTTTTTTTTGGTGAACATTTGGTTCACTGGTTTGCTAGTTGTACAATAAAGCCTTCCTAGAATTATGGCTAACCCAACATAAAAAGAATATTTCAATTCAGTTCAGCAGTTCCTGATGTTAACGCGTTCAAACAAACAAACAAACATCTTTATATTGTAGTTTATATCAGATTTACACTATAATTATTTTACTTTTTATTTGCTTTAGAAGTAAATTCCAATTCTTTAATTTTTATTTCTAAATTCTTCAATTTCTTCCAAGTCACGTTTTTTTTCCACCGTCACTGCATTGGTAGACTTATTTTCTATTATTGCTTTGTACCTACATTGAAATATATATTATCAATATATTTACAAATTTTAAATGCCAAAAGCAGATCGGTTTCTTTGTATAGATTAGAAAGCTTGATTTGAACAACTGATTTGTACCTATTAGGTACTTACTTATCCACTATTGTTAAAAGCTCCCTCTTTTCTCGCTCCGTATAGTTTTTTCGTGACATATTATGTAAAAACTTTACAAATGAAAATAAATTTCAATGTTTTCGGTACAAACAATCGCTTCTATTTTTCTGACTTTTATATAAAAGTCACTTATAAGTTGTCAAAAGATAGAGACAAAGCTATGCGTTAGACAGAAACAAAACATGAATGATCGAATGAAAGTGACCCGTTTTAGCTAGGGTGGCCAGACTAATAAATAAATCCTGCCTTAACAGTAGATTCGTTAATTTTTCGGTAAATATCTTTTCAGAAACCCACAGTTGCTCAACAAATAGTTAATTATGACAGTCTGTCAACTAATTCAATATTTGACATGCGTTTCAGAAACCGGATGTAAATGTGTTACAATTTTTCAAATCAGTCCAATAGTTTCGGAGCTTATTTAATACAAACAAACAAACAATCAAATCTTTCCTCTTTATAATATTAGTATAGAGATGCACTTGGTGAAGAAAGAACATATTCTGAATAGAAACGTAAATGAAACCAGCCCGCACCGACCCGGTCAGAAAGGCGTTTAGGTGGAGATTACTTCCGCAGACGGGCGCTTCAATCCGAGCAGGAAATCTGCTGAGCCTTACCTCTTTTGACTTACCATATATTTTAAATTTGGAATTTTGAACTCGACCTTATGTTGCGGAACCCTTCATGTACGAGTCCGTGTTGTAAAAAATGTTATTGTGCAGGTAAGTATAAACGTAACTAAAGCTTATTACGATACTTATTAAGATTATTGAGGTATATCTTATGCGCATATCTCATTGACGTCGGCTTCGATGGCAAGTTACGTAGGTGCATTATCTGCTTCGTACATGTGTACCAAAATGTAAAAATATATTGCTATCAGTCTGAAGACCGATTATTTTTGTAAACAAACTTAATTTGATGCCGATTCGGATTCTCCGCCCTTATCGAATTGGTCGTCTTGAATATAAAATCAAGAAAACTTTTTTAGAAAATAGAAAGATAATGATGACAAAGATCGTTATTCAAAGTATTTATATGTTAGATCTTAACGAGATTTTTATTACTAGTTCTAATTTATTGTGATCATAATCATCAACTTATTATTATTTTTTAAACGAAGCGCAGAAAATTACCCCACCGTACCTGATGTTAAGTGTAAGTGGAGTCCAGTCCAATAGAGATGACGCAGCAGAAGCAGTGTCACTCTAGCCGGCTTGCCGGCCTGAACTCAATCCTCTACCCCGCAAAGCCCTGGGACCCTACTCACCAGCAGAAATACAATACTACCAAAAGGTACTATGGTGGATTTACTCTTATCCAAAATGTCCGCCTATGGTTTCGATCGTGGCACACTATTATGGTTTCATAGCTACTTAAGCAATCGGAGCCAATCAGTACAGATACGTTTAGCGGATGGAACCAAATGTGTTTCTTCGCCTATTCCACTTGACCAGGGTGTACCCCAGGGCACCATTCTGGGTCCAATTCTATTTATTTTTTATTGCGCGGACATTGTTGTGAAATTATAATACTATACTTTAAATTTCAAAGGCACACACGATGATTTTATGCATGTTCACCGATTTCTCCGTCAATTGTGTTATTGTTTACTTAGACGATGTAATTTTCAGGAAAATGGATTTTTTTTTTAAATATAACCGACATTAAAATCGAAAATGGAACTAAAAAGTAAAAAATAATATCTGGTTCATGATTTGGAAGTCGGACGGGGTCAAGATTGAAACATTAAAGAGATTAACGCGTCTGATCGGTAATAATACGCCTTTCAATCTTGACCCGTCCGACTTCCAAATCATGAACCAGATATTATTTTTTACTTTTTAGTTCCATTTTCGATTTTGAAGTCGGTTATATTTTTTTTATAACCATCAAAAGTGTTGAGTTCAATATTGAGCTAGTATTGAAATGCTTAATAGGAAACCTGTTGCAAAAATAGATGTTTTGCTAAGAGTGTAAGTATTTTGCATCGAAGCATGGTTAATTTTCTATGCAATCGGTATATTTACTGTGCAATCAGTATATTTGATATGAAAATCATATTTCTGTACAATTAAACAAGTTTTTTGTTACTACAGATTAGATGTATATTTTTGATTTATTTTCAGGACTAGTTTTGTTCAACAAATGTTTTTTTTGCAGTAAAATAATTATTTTGATGTAAAAAATATTTAATTGCTGTAAATAACTTGATGGGTAATAAGTTATTTGCTGTGCATTTAAAAATATCCCTTAATAAAAAAAATCAATTAACCAAAAAAATTTTGTTTGACAAGCATTTATTGGTTGTTAATAAAATTAACTAAAAAGTTTAAAAACATTTTAAGATGTTCTAGGGTCTGATAAGAAATATATCATTTAATAGGTACATTATATCCCATTTTTTTTAAATAAAAGTGCGTAACACCCTTTTCATTTCTCTTGCGAACAAAATGTAACTCGCTATTATTAATGACCCACATGACCGGGTTTTTTTAAGTGCACTCAAATTACAAACATATTCCACACCACAATTAAACAAAATCAGTTTAACGGTAAAGGTAAGGTAAAGGTAAAAAATTTAACGAAAATCGCGTTTATTCTAGTTTAAATTAAGTATTGTTGTATTTTAACATCTTGAACCATAGATTTATCGAAAATAGTTATAAAAAACACTATTTTTAATCTAATTTAATCTATAAAGAAACCCCCTGTAGGGTATCATACAATTGTCACATGCAACGAAATATCTAAGATAGTAATAATGATAATCCCATTAAACACAATTTATAACTGATCAATATTATTAATACCTATATCAATGGTTTTTGCAATAAAAACACTGCGTCACACGATTTCGGTGCCTGGTAAACTGATTGCTATTAAAGTTTTCTAATTAGTTAAAGCATGTGGGCAATGCATGTCTTTTTATTCTATCACGTTACGTTTTTGAGGTACACACAAATAACTTTTCAACACACTTGCTCAAAAAATGTTCCAACGCGTACAAAGAAATTTGGCGACTCATTTCTTTGTCGCACTATCCGTAAATGGAATGATCTGCCCGCTCACGTGTTCCCTCCCTCTTACAACCTGGGATCCTTTAAAAGAGGCGTGAAGAAGCAACATGCAGGCCGGCAGGGTGAGGATGGCTGGTGTGGCAGGTAGAACTGCTGTATCAGCTATCTTCGCGTCTAGACTTCACCTTCACTTAACATCAGGTGGGGTGGAGTTATTTGTCGGACCTATCTATAAAAAAAAACATTGTACATAGGTTACCGGCAATCTGTATAATCTAAATATACTTTTATATAATGTACTTTTCCTAGGTCCTCGGAACTTTGAATGCTAACTATACCGAATGCGCAGTGTGCATGTGTGAAAAAGAAAATAGCAGGCAAAGGGAAAACTTGCGGACAGGCAGTAAACGTGTTGCGAATTGTAGATCGGCTACTCGCATTCCTGACACAGGAGCAATCTGGGGAGGGAGAGTGGGGATGACCCTTAATTGCCTCCTTAATTATGATGTATGTTGGCAATCAAGGATAATTTTCTACATTTGAATTGGCCCCCTGCTTAGTCTTAGTAGTACGGAGGGCTGCTTCCGCAACTCGACACCCAGTGCCTATTTTGCGTGGGGATTGGCATCAGTCCTGCCTTCCGAGCTCCTCCAAAAAACTCAGCAGTCAACGGATGTTGCTGCAGGCCTCTACTAGTGTCTAAATTGCCCCCTACTTGCCTGCTTGCCTTAACATATCACGCCCCGTATGTGTGCTATCAATCAGTACTAATTGTTAATTTTAATAAGCAAATATAACGGTTTATATGTGTCTGTCATTTTATATCCAACTGGGTGGGCAATTTTTTACCCGACTGCGCAATGTTAGAGCGCGAAGCGCGACGCGCAGACAGGGTATAGTGTTTAACAGTCTATACAAGTATATAAGTTTGTTCCTTTTATGGCACACTAGAGACCAAATGCCTGGACCGATTTTGATGATTCATACATCAATCGATTCGTCTTACAAATCAATTATATGTATAATCCTTTAGCTATTATTCGGCCATTTTGCATTTTGTGTTCTTCGTAAATCAGTAACCAATTATAGATTCAGATTTATATATTTGCAAGAAAAGTTGTTCAAAAGATGTAACATTATTTGTTTATTATTACAGGATGTACGACAATTAATATTACAAATAGCACGAATACATTGCTTTTGTACGACAAAATTAAATGCTTGATTTAAATGATATGAGTTACCCCAGAGAAGAATTTGGTATCTCAATAAGCTGTTTAATATGTAACCAACCATGGTAATCCTAAAAAGCAGTATTTTTCTACTAATCTTAGTTAATCTCTAATTTTTATTAATAAACTAAATAAATGTCTTCGTTAAATTAACTTTTATTTTATTTTGTTTTAGCCAGGTTATTATTCTAGATACTGCTTAATTTACTGCATCATTATAACGTTTCTAGTCACTACACGGTATGACCACAGAAATATAATCAGCAAAGAGTGTGCAGTTATGATTCGTGACATGATTTATAAATAATAATAATAACAGTGGACCCAGTATGCTGCCTGTGGTAAACCAAGGGTTTTTGATTTTGACATTGATTGATATTGTTTTATTTCTATATTGTCATCCATATTTGTTTTTTCTACATATTGTTGTTGTATTAGTTAAATACACATATAAAAAGAACCAATGATGCCATATAACTCACATTTACGAAGTAGCATATTATGGTACGAGATCGAAAGCCTTACTCATGTAGAAAAATATACACGTCACGGCCCTTCGATTATCCGTATTGATTAGCATTGTATTGATTAACGAGAATGTAGCCAGCGATGTTGACTTGCCTTTTCGAAATCCATATTGACTAGATTTTATCAAGGCAAATCTATTTAAAAATTGAATGACATGGTCGTTAATATATTAACCTTTCGAAATCTTGTATTTTTTTATAAGCTATTATAGGTCTGTAACTACAGGCAACTACAGGAGATAATAAATAATATAGATAACTCTATATTATCTCTTCCTCATTATTCGGTCATAAAAATGAGCTATCGGGTTTAGATTTATTTTGACTGACATTGTTATTTATAGATTATTTATTAGAATTATTTATAATAAAAATATTAACAGCATTTGCTATGTTCATGGGCACACAACTTCAGTGTCAATTAACAATTTATTAATATTTCCATGAAGCTTAATTTTGATAACATCCTATGAAGCTTTGCATTTATTTTTTGAATTCTAAAAATTTATTTAGTAATTTTGCTAGTTTCGGAGATGTATTTATACAAGATCTCAGAAGTTTTGAATATTTTAGTTTTCTATTTTTATTAGAGTTATGAATGAAGGTGTATATTATAGTAACTGTAACGTAGGTGACTTTTTGTTTTAGTTCACAGTTTTATACCATTGGTAAGTCATTTTTTTAATACTGCCATTAGAAAATAATTTTGTCTTAATTGTATAAGTTAGGAAACAAAATAAGTAATTTAAACATGTTAAAAACTTTATTGAATGCATTATCTATGTATGGTACGTCAATCCACCTTAGACTGCTTGAATATTTACAGAACATGGATACATTTTCGGAGTGCAAGTCTCTTCTATTACAGTAATAGAATTTAGGGTACCTACATGGCGAATTTGGCGAAGTAAAAGTAATTAAAAGATTATGCGGGATCTTGCTCAAAAAAGAACAGCTTATGGATTTCACATCGAGCATCTGGGAACTTACTTAGTTCTAAACACATTTTTATTTATTAGCTTTTCACGCACATTACTCATTAAATAAATCAAGTTTCTACTTGTTAGATGCACTGATTTTATTTATTTATTGAAGTTTCGCTGCCTCTCCGGGAATGCATCGTCAGAATAATGATTTTTTATGTACTTTGTCGAGCTACCTTCGAAAAACTTTAGCTCGGTAGCTCGACAAAGTAAATAAAAAAAATCAGCGTATCTAACCCGTTGAAACTTGTTTTATTTAATTAGATCTAAACACGTCTTTTTACGTCTTGGCCTAATAATATTGTCATTTAAATTGTAATTTGCCTAAACCTAATCTGTGAAAATAATTATTTTGAATTCCACGTTTATCAATAAGGGGGAGATTAAAGTTCAGGTAAACTCGTAATCCTTCAGGTTTTCGATGGTAAAGGATAATAAAAAATTACAGCTAAGTGACTCAAATTTAATTTCTATAACTGATACATTTACAATCTTCTTCTTTACTCATTGTGAGAAGTCTGCAAGGATGACTGTAACAAAACAAATGCCTCTTTAAAAAATGCAATTTCAATATATCTTCATATCAAATCGCATTGCGATTAACGATAACAAGTAAGTATATACACAAATAAAAAAATAAAAAATCAAACAAAGCTGCTTTTTAAACTACATAAGAAGACGAAAGTTATTGTCGTCGAATAAATTTAAGCCTGAAACAATGCATTTAATCTTTTTTTTTATATTAAGATGATAAATTGCACAGTTCCTTATTATTAACTACTACTATTTTATTATCGTACATTCACTCAGATGAAGACACAGTAATTCTTTTTATATTCAGCAATTATTAGTTATTTTATTGTTTTTTTAATCATTAAACTGCTCAATAAATCTTAAGAAAAAAATAACTCGGTCCAATAACCAATCCTCTCTGATACCTAGATGGAGTGGAATATTTTCTACTCAAAATTAAGTCTTTACCTCTTTTCCGACATGTATAGCTAAGTGCATGTCTTCAACGTGGCCTGGTAGATGGATGTTGGCGAATCCTTTGTCGTCCACAGTCACCTTCAGGCCAGTACATTTATCGCCATTCACTTTTCCTGATATCACATCGCAGTAGTCGCCAGCAGGGAGACCAGTCTGTAAACAGAGAAAAATTAATGAATTGACTAAGTGTTTAATTTTTCTTATTAAATAAAAGAATCAAAACTTCGTTTTATGAAAGTGAATGCAACTTGTCCCAGATCAGGCTGGAATCGAACCAGTATTGCAATTTTGAATAGTGCATTTGCCCGAATAATGATGATTAGTTGGCATCATAGCTAACAAAACGCTAACGATAACAGAGTAACATTGCACATTGCCTACACAGACCCTAAGGGCGCTAGTTAATGTGAGACGGTTTTAAACCGGATAAATATAAAAAATCCTTAAACCCAACTGCTGCGCCACCTATATTTGCTAATAGTTTTTTTATTTTTTGCGCAACTTTCTTAACTATTGTTACCGTGAGGGCTTCTACAAGTACCTATTAGAGATTTCAAATAAAAATGTGAAAAGTTTTATGAAATCTGTAAACTAGGCCCCACCCAAGTTATGGCGTCACCATGAGAAATAGGGATTCATTTATTTATGGATACTAAAATCTTAGCCTGTATTCATATTAGAAAAGCACCTGTAACTTCTGCTCCAAATCTTGACCTTCTACATTGAACACTATAAAACCTTTATCACCCCTGCTGAATGCGATCTGATTGTGGCCGTTATCCCACCATTGGTCCACATCTGTGCCTCTCACGGCGTTCCTGAAAGCTGCCATTTGGTATATCTGTCGCCAACGGTGTTCACACGCCCACCCGTTGCCGCAGGTGTCATCCTATAAATAAAATGTTTTAGTAAGGTCAAATATGGGTTAATTAATCTTAAGAAATTTTTTACTAGAAAAATAGACTAGATTTATAATTGATCAGATCAATGCTTAAAAAAATATATGAATAACTATTAATTGTGATCTATCACTTGCAATAGTGCTAAAATATCGGGGACTCTCAAAAAACAAAGGAACATTGTAGCAATCTCCCTCAGACTTATAATATTTTCCTAACAAGCCAAGAATGTGAAAATATATGTCCATTTATTAATTTCAATATCAACAAATGAAAACTAAATCTTCTTATATTTTTTAGATCTGCTAAATAAAAGAGTCGTATAAACGCTTATGACCACTTCTCTTTCGGTCATTGTACTTTTAATAGCAGAACAAAGTACCTACCTATAAGGTGTTTTAAGCAATAGTTACCAAAGAAACCTGCCTAAACTTCAGCTAATCTGAAAAAAGGTATCCAATCTGTTGTAACATCAACAAGAAATCATATTGGGGTACTAAATTACCTCATTAATACTTGGTGATACTATGTTCTCATTACTGTCCATGGGTGGGCCTTGCTCTTTGTTGTCGAAGAAAAAGCTGCTCATTACGCGTGTCACGCCGTAAGGGTGAGCGAGCATGAAAGCAATGGCCGCCTGAAACATAAATGAATACATAAAACTAGCAATAAGCAGGTAAACACATTTGTGTCCTCCTTATATTACAATCAGGCCTTTGCTTGGAACGAATACAGTTTATAACTGCTGTACCAGTTATCTTCGCGTTTGTACTGTATCACCACTTAACATCAGGTGGGGTAGAGTCAATTTGCGTACTAGGCTATAAAAATAATTATAGGTACGCGGTTAACCGACCCAATAGTAAGTAGCCCAAGATTTTGGGATTTACTCGAGCAAGGCAGAATAACATAAGGGCCCGCCTTATGGTAACCTTGCACCTTGTGAAGTACTCCCACCATAAGTGAGCCCTTTATATAGGATCGAAAATAAAAACCCTTTTAATCGCGTCCTAAGCTTCAGTCTTTTGAACAGGAGCTTCTTGCGGGTACACATTACGTTTCTGATGACGAAAAAATATTAATCGCCACTTGTATGGTGTGGGTACATATATAAGTACATTTAAGAAATTATATAGAAGTACTTATTGAACATCCATGACTGGAGTACTAATGCTCGTATACATCACACAAACATATGCTCCCACCGGGATTCGAACCCGGGACCTCTCGAGTCGGCGACACCATGTAACCCGGCGCGGCGCGGCGTACAAACTAAGTGGTTTGTACGCTGCGCCAAGTGGTCTCCTCGACCCCGACTCGTGGTCGACGATTTCAACCCGACCAAAAGTGGTATGTTGATTTTTTTTTGCTGCCTGACCTATTTAAAGGGCTAAGGTATGGTGAAAGTACTTCACAAGATGCAAAGTTGCCCCCCTTACGTTATTCTGCCGCGCTCGAGTCAATCCCAAAATCCCCACTTGAACTTCCCTACTACAACGGTTGAATTTAATTTGCCACACCTTAAGTTGAGTAATTTTCCATTCCAAAATTGATATCTATTATATTTATTATCAACAAAACTCTGTATTGATGTTGCCCGCTTACGCCAAAAAATTATTAAATGATTTATTCTGAACATTATTAAATGATTATCACTAAGCATGCATGGAAAATTTTCACGTAATATTATTACTTCACGTGTTGTATGGCAAAACATAATTATAATAAGTTCCAAATAATGTACATACATCAATATGTTATGAGATCGAAGTTTTAACTAATTGCAATTACCCTTTCGAACATTATCTGCGACGAAGATAGTATAATTTTATATTTTTATTTTGCTCCTAACTTTTATTTGTTTAACTTAACTAAACGCATGGTGCCATGTAATTAGATAATAAAAAAGTTGAATTCCTAAGACCAAAAAGTTTAACTTTAAGCATTGCACTCCAGTAAAGGTATAAAATGGAACATCTTACAAGCTCCAAAGTAACTTTTAATGCCGATAATTAATTACAGCGCCTTTTGAATCGACGCGACGGGACAAGCGACTTCACATCCATTTTCTTTAACGTAGGTACTTAAGCTGACATAGGAACTATGCTATCACATTAATCACATAAGTTTAAGGAGGCACAGAGACATAGCTTATGGCAATAGGGTGATGACGGGGTAAAATAAACGATATTTGTATTTAGTCTGTCAGTTATATTATCAAAAAAAAGGCCAAGTACGTGTCGTGTCACGCGCAGTGTAGGGTTCTGTAGTAGTTGCCTGTCGTTACCACAATACATTTGAGCAGGAGACTTTATTTTCTGTATCGGTATTAAAAAAGCAATTAAAATCAAACCATTTATTTCAACTAAATGCCTAAATCAAAATCAAACTGCGTCTGAAACTAAAATCAATTCGATATTCAATATTTTACAATCCTCCCAGGCGGGGGAGAAAACGCGCTATCATTAGCTATTCAGAAGCCGTTGCCGTTGGGTACATGCGGTAGCTTTATGGAACTAATTATATTTTATACTGTTTTTCAATGTAAGGTTTTTCGCTACAATAACTTTATCTATGCCACTATTATTTTTTTCTTATAAGGTATGTTCAATAAGTAAGAAATTTTCTATATCGAAGTTAAACGACTATCATTTTCTTCTTAAACTAACAAATCTATCATAACCGTTTTAATTTTCCTTAAAAGACCATAAAAAGGACTATTATCGTGAATTTTTCCAGATTACTCAAGCCAATCGTTTGGCTTTAAGAGGGCGGGACGCCCTACTCGTTTCACTACATTTTGTTTCTTTTGTTTATCAACCAAAAAAAATACAAAGATAACGCTCACCAAAGTGGAGTGGACGCTCATAACGTCACTTGTAAGTAAAAATTGGCGGGGACAATTATTAAACATTTGAAAGAAGAAATAGCAATTATAGTTATATTTTTTTATTTTATTTAACTTGTCCTGCATTTAAGTGCTAGATGTTTAAATCTAAATAAAATTCTACAAAGAAAAAATCCACGCAGTCCTGGTTCGTTTCTAGTAAAAATAAAAAATATAACTACATTTGTTATGTCTTCTTTCAAATGTTTAATACTTGTAAAGGTTTTCATTTCACATTGTTGGTTACCTACAACGCGGAGAGGTGGCGTTGCCTTGCAGCCTAAGAAATACTAGAAAGAATTCGACACGGCCATCACCTCTGCGGCAGCATAATGGTCAGTGCATCCGCCCGAATAGCAGAAGGTGTGTTTTCGAGTCCCGTCTGCTGCCTCGTCTACGTAGATCTTTTTTCTAGTAATGTTTTCTTTAGATTTAAACATTATATTTGTACCGTTTTTGGTCTTTAAAAATAAGACAACTATATGAGTTGAATTTAAACTTTTTCTTTGTTTGACTTCTTAGTTGTTTTGAGATTGGCAGCGACATCGGCAGGCCTCCAGTGCTCACTCACACAAGCGCACTGCACGAAGCTTTGTGGTGTGGATTCTGGCATGGTTCTCTAGACCTGAACTTTGGTTTTGCAGCGGTGTATCCTTGTCATTCTCTATACAGAGTGAAGGGGGGGCACTGATGTTGGGTTTGGTTTTGGGTTTGGAGAGTAGTGGCGGAGTCGACACTAGTGTTTAGGTAATCACATGCATGTGTCCTACAGTTGTGTTTATAGTTTTTTATAGTAATGTACACTGGTACTTATTTTTTTTTTCCCCTATTTTGCTATCTAGTATCCATATGTGGTTATGAGTAGTCATGCTCTCTTAAAAATCTCTTCGGCGGTGTCGTGTGAGGTGGGTCGTTTCGTTCCCTAAAAAATGGTTGAGCGAAGCGATGGCTGGTTCATGCGTCATGCTCGTGAACGGGTGCTGCCAGCGGAGATGAGTCTGCTCTTGCTACATTGGGTACTATTAATCGTTGTATTTAACTTTAATGGTACATTTGTTTTTATGCCTAAACAGTAGGGCACGGCATTCCTAAACTTTTTTTATTTTTAAATCTGTTTTTTATATTTTTTATTTTATAGTCATAATTGTTTTATCATTTACATTTGTAATGGAAAGTGACTTCATGAGTTATCTCATATTGAAGTCATTTTTCAAATTGACGACTCTGTATATAATACAGGGAGAAAAAAACAGCCCTTGCTGAGTTTCTTGCCGGTTCTTCTCAGTACAAGGTCTCCCGCCGTAGATTTGCGAACCGATGGCGTAGCTTTTCGACATTCACAAGTGCTTGTAACAGCCTAGACTGAATAAACGATAGTGAATTTTGAATTTTTTTGAATTTTTGCGTCTGTACTTTTTTATCATGATAAAATCACATGTGATACTACGATACTACCTTATATGGCCTCGACTCTTTATAAGTCAATACATCGTGGTCCCTTTGCGTATCGTGGTTGTCAATAAAAGCGAGAGCCTTATCACTCGGTGATAAGGCCCATTGTTCACCCCAGGACACCAGCCACTTGAGAGCGTTTCGCCCGCGGAAAACACTCTTGAGCTCTGATCCAACCTAAAATCGAAGCTAATTTAAAAAAGTGAGCACAAGTTAAATGCACTTATTTTAAAAGTTCAAGTGAGTTAAGCCGTGGGTGCGCGTATCGGTCGATAATATCGGTTGTTAGATGTATTTTGCGATATTTCGTGATACTTCTATTGTATTGTTATTATCGTGTGTGTAACTTCGTATCCGTTTTCATGTATAATTTACTAAAAGCAAATATTGCAGTAGTGCATACGATATTATCGGCCGATAATAACGCGCCAATGGAGAGAAGGCTTAATGATCATAACAGTTATTACGGAAAGGTTGAATTCTTGAAGAGTCTAGTCTATATACTGTGAAATTTCTAAAAATCACTATTTAGTATCTACGTTCTAACCATTATGAAACGGAAAATGAATAAAATGATGTAAAAATTGTTACAAATAGTTTTTCCTTCAAGTCCAAAGCAATTGTTATCGGATCGTTCCCTTTAAGATTTAATAGAGCCGTTACAAAGGAAATAACTTCCTCAAATTTATCTCGTCATGCCGTAGGACCGTCTAAATTGATTTGTACGTGATTCAGCGTTAATAAATTCTCAACGGGGAATTCTATAGAAATTGTTAGGCTACTTCAGAATGGTTAACCTTATGGCACGTAACATTTCATGAACCATTAACTTAAAGTTATATACGATGTTAAGCGTGCTTTGGCAGTAATCGTTTATATTGATGAATACTTATTTAGGCATGAAAAGCACGAAGATAAAGAAGTATCCAAAAGGGGTTTTATATCTACGTAGATAATAATGTCTAATCAAAAAATATCTAATTCTTTACTCTTAACTTGAGAAAACTATTGTTTCGTATTACGGAAATATATAAAAAAATATTTCGAGTTTAATCATCAAAATGTTAAGACATCTTTTTTTAACAAATTTCTTATTTCATAGTTCTTACCTTGAATTCGGTAACATCTCCCAACGACGTATAATCACTGGGCGTAATCGCTTCAAAGCCGTAGTAGATGACTTCTTGATAAATGTAAGGTCTTGTGTTCGGTGCAAAACCAAAATTGGTGTTTAAATCGTTTAACTTTTTATAGATCTCGCCCAAATCGTTAGGCCACATATGTTTTGCTGCGTCCACCCTAAAATTCAATTTAATTTTTATCGATGCAAAGCACGAACTTACTTAATTTAAAATGAACACTACCTATGACCTTTAAATTATTCTCTACAGAAGAGAGAGAAGAAGAGATAGAGAAAATCTTTTCTTTTAACAACGGATAACAATACAACTACAAACATTCAAAAGATGAAGGCAATAAATCATACATATGTATTAAAATAACAGAAACAGAGAATAAAAATATTGTCCCTTTTGGTCAATCAGGACCCTTCCTCAGCATAATAATACAGCATAAGCAAGCATTTTACGAAGGATCGATGTTGTTATTCACAGGAGTGATTCTGTGAATAGAAGACGTGTCGCGTGGCCATCATATTTTTCGCCTTGGGAATACCTTAACAGTGGGAAAATATACGAATTGGCTTGAGGCAAAACGCGTTGCGTCGCTTAGACTCTGCGCCAGTGTGAGTTGTGCCTAACATGAAACAAACACGAGGAGCGGACTTCCGCTCCGTGCTCCCGCTTAAGATAGCATAGGCCCTCAGGTCCTTAAATTTTACTTAGGAATTATTATTTAAGTTTAAAGTGGTAAGATTTTGGGTGAAACCTTGAGCATTACCTACTGGTTTGTATGGATTTTTTTTATGACATGAAATTGAAAAAGAAAATCACACGGAGCGGTCGTCCACTCCGTGCTCCCGCTTAACACAACGCAGGTCCTTATGCGCTATATTTGAAATATGTTTTAGATGTTTCATCCAATAGGTTAAGCCATTTACGGATATCCTGCTACCCCATAACTCCATGTTTGGTTTTTAAAAGACTAATTAATAATAATAATCTAATCTAACTGATATTCGGTTCATTTCTAGATCGTAGTCTGTTTTATCAGTTCAATGTTATTAATTTAGTTTTTTTTTATTATCATCTCAGAATTTATCATTTATTATAGTGTTCAAAACGGCAGTCTAATTTGTACATACTAAAATGTGTGAAAACGATGTTTTCTTTTTTATTATTATATATATTCTTTTTCCATATGTAATATCAGAGCTTTCGACCATATATGTTACCAATCAATCTGTCTAATCCAGTTTTCTTTACAATACCTAGACAATATATAGAATACCTAAAACGTCAAGGTAATGTGTGAAATATAATATTCATTTTATACTTTTTTATACAACGCCGAATGCGCAGTTGACGATAGCAATGGGCAAAATAACTTCTATATCCAATTTGTTATTTAAGTTATTTTTGTTATCTTGTGGCCGCTTGGCCACTTCCCTATCTCTCCTGGCTTAAATGTGACCCTGGCCAGGCACTTCACCGTAAGTCATAGAAGAAGTTTATTCAAACGAATATCATCATAAAGTTAGCTCGAACGTCTGACCCCAAGACTTCAACATATATCTGGAATTGATTTGGCAGTTGATTGTGTAGCCAGTATACCAGGCTGTGGATGAACTCAACTCTGTTTATATCTATGTGGTGAACATCAAAATTACGTAGAACTTTAATTAAGACAATAACACGAAATATTACATTGAGTTGAAAGCAACAAACTAGAATTTTCTTCTAGAGTTACGTATCAAGTATTTTATGATTTATCAAGTACTTACCTAAACCCAGCTACTCCTAGTGATATGAGTTTATTGAAGAATTCTACTATTTTCATTCGGACGTAACTTTTACTGTGGTCCAAGTCCTTCAGGCCGACCAAGTTGCACGATCTCACCTATGGAATGTTAGTAATAAAACAAGTCAAACATTGTTAAGCATCTCAAGGCACAAAGAATAAACACAAACAAAATGCTTCCAATCATGTAAAATCTAAATAATAAATTACGCGTCACATTGTTTGTCCGGGATGAACTCCTAAACTACTTAACCGATTTTAATCAAATACCGTGTGCAGTTTGATCCAACTCCAAAGATAGGAAAGCTTACATCTCAATTTATAATCGCAATATTATTTTATTGCAAATTATTACTTTTGGGCGGTACGAAGTTCGCCGAGTGCGCTAGTTTAAATATACCTATATGTTACCGACAATCTGCAAAAACTGGCATTTTTTTATAGATTGATCCGACAAATGACTCCACCCCACCTGATGTTAAGTGACGGGAAGTCCAGATGTGAAGAAAGCTGGTACAGCAATTCTAATTGGCACACCCCAGCCATCCTCACTTTGCCGACCTGCATGTTGCTTCTTCACGCCTCTTTTAAAGGATCACAGGTTGTAAGCAGAAGGGAACACGTGAGCAGGCAGAGCATTCCATTTACGGATAGTGCGACAAAGAAATGAGACACCAAATTTCTTCGTACGCGTTGGAATTGTAGCCACAGTTAGACGGTGACACCGAAGGCCAGCGCGCGTGGTCCTCTCAAGGAAAGGGGAAGATGGAATAAGAGAAGATAACTCCTTAGAATACTCGCCGTGGTACAGAGAATAGAACGCGCTTAGTGAGGCCACGTCACGGCGTAATTGAAGAGGTTTGAGGTGTTCAGTAACCTCCTAATCGCCTATGATGCGGATCGCGCGCCGCTGTAACCTATCCAAAGCATCGAGCAAGTACTTGGCGGAGCCATCCCAGAGGTGCGAGCAATATTCCATGCAACACCGCACCTGCGTCTTATATAACAAGCACAGTTGCTCGGGTGTGAGAAAACTTTTTCGTGCGTATTCTATACAACGCCAAATGGGCAGTCCGCAATGTCTGTGAAAGAAGATAGTGAGTCAGCTTTTCCTTGTATTATTTATCTACTATCTATATTTAACTATCTATTATCAATCAAGTGGCTAGCTAAGTTTGAGTCACAACACTAACCTTACCTAACTCACTGTGAGTTAGTCAAACGTTCATTGGGCTGTAGTCCATTCGATGAGAATTATGAAATCCGTCCGTCATTTTATATCCAACTGGGTAAGATAAGTTAGATTTGGTTACGATAAATACAGGCTAAAATCTGTTTCATTTACACATTTCTGGTTGACCAGCAGGTAATCTATATATATATTCTCTAGGAATTGTGTACATACCAGGCAAACTATACAATATTTCATACATTGTTTAGACGTCCTAGGCATTCTATACGTTGCCACTGTATTGAATACCTAATACCTACCTATATGATTGTCTAGAAGAGATCGCTTTTAGGAGAACAGAGCGCGCCGATTGAAATGAAATATATTCTTTTTCCAATTATTTTCTTCTAAATATCTATGTATTGTAGGTACTTTAGTGTTCTCAAAATATTGTGTACTGTATTATAAAAACGGTTAGTTTGTAAAAGCACATTTTTAGATGAGCACAATATAAAAACACTTTCTTTCTACATTCACAGAGAACTAATTCATTTGTAATAAATACCTCATCCCAGCCACTCCGAGTCGAATAAGTTTGTTAAAGTAACTTTTTATCTTTCGACGCACGTAGACGACTGTCTGGTTTAAGTCCTTAAGTCCTACAAGTTGACAGTTTCGTACCTGCAGCATTCATAGGAATTTGCTTAACTAGGTACCTTATCTTGGAACTGCAAGTGTATATTTTTGTTTAAATATATATTGGGCTCATATGTTTGTTTAAAACCTTTTTAACATATAATTAAATAAATAATGGCCCAATAACCTTAATTAAATCCCTGATTATCCCTTGAGTAAGAAAAAGTCCAAGAAAGATCTATTCTCCATACAAAGAAGCTTAGGTGAACAACGTAAAATCTAATACGCTTTTAAATGTAAAATATTTAAAAGATGAACAGAAAACTACTAAAGCTAGCAAACTTAACCTAAGTTAGCGATTGTATTTTTTGCAGTGCAGTATTTGCGAATAATTTCAAAAAAAAATTATCTAATCGAATTCTTATTTTTTTTACTATCTGGTTTTATTAATCATCTCGTATTTCAGTACAATAAATATAAATTAAGTAGAAGATCATGTGCCCGAATTCAAAATATATATCGGAACATAGAAAATTACGAATACTAGGAAATGTAATTGCGCCCAAATACATAACGAGGTAGTGTAATCGCACCCTTATCATACAATAACATTATTGGATTTTCTATTTACAAAATAAGATAAAACTTATTTACATTGATTTATGAACTCAACATTGAAATATCTTTATAATATCCAGAAATCCGCATCCACATCCGCGGATTTGGTTGGACCTCATATAATCCGTATCCTTATCTGAATATATGCTTTATGTGAATATTTTTTGCATCCGCAACAACCCTAGTACAATGTGTAAAATTAAGTAAATACCTCGGCGGCGTTATTGTAATCGTTGATCTGGCAGGCGGGATTATGGAAGTGTTCCCTGGAGTAAGGTACGGCTGGGTAATCGTAATTCTTGAAATCAGCCGTGCTTCCACCTGTACCAACGTTCGTTGGATGATCGCCAGTCATGTGGTTCACAACCACATCTGCGTATACTCTGAAAAAGAACCATTCTTTATAAAATGAAATAGTTTATATTATTTTAGTTTTTAAGCATTAATTGCTAGATGTTTCAATCTAAAGAAAATTTTACTAGAAAAAAAAACCACGCGGGCCAGGCAGTAGACGGGACTCGAACCTGCACCCTTCGCTATCCGGGCGCATGCACTGACCATTATGCTTTAGATTGAAACATCTACGAGTAGCAGTTAAAAAATAAATAATATAACTATAATGGCTATTTCTTCTTTCAAATGTTTAATACCTGTAAAGGTATTCGTTTGATATTGTGGGTTACCTACAATGCGAAGAGATAGCGCTGCCTTGCAGCCTAAGGCTAGAGAAAATTTGACACGGCCATCAGGGCCGCGGTAGCATTGTTTAATTGCAATATAGCATTATATTGAGATATGTACATTGTTTTAAACTTTCATGGTAACAAACATTATGGAAATTTATGTCATTTACGGGATTGATATAGTTTATTTTTTGGGAATCTTTGATATTTCGGTTACTCCGTAATCATGGCGCTTGCAACAGAGCTGAAATAACGGGGAATCGCAAAAAACAAGGAACATGATAGCAATCCCATAAATAACATATATTACTATAATAATATTGAGATACCCAAAGTAATAGTTCAAAACTCGTGTTGTAATGTAATATTCGCTCTTCCTATAAATTTATTGCTTATGTTTTCTCATGCCTAAACATTTTTTTACTAAAATGCATATCGGTATTTGGCGGGAATCAAAACAACACCATTCGCTATGATTAAAAATGTCGTCACACGATCTTTATATTATTATGTGCCGAATTTATAACGGGTGATAAGACAAAAAAAATGCATCCTAATCAAATTAACAGAAAAAGACGATCCTTAATGTTTTTCATTTCACATCACTATACCAAACTAGAGGAGCTCGATGGCGCAGGTGGTTAGCGCGTTCGGCTGCGATGGTTGAAGTTAAGCAACTTTCGCAGTGGTCGGTCATTGGATGGGTGACCCAGAACATCTATCTCGAGTTCCTCCGTGCTTCGGAAGGCACGTTAAGCCGTTGGTCCCGGCTGCATCTGCAGTCGTTAGCACCCGCCAATCCGCACTGGGCCCGCGTGGTGGGTCATGGCCCAATCTCCCTATTCCATCCGTAGGGAAGGCCTTTGCCCCAGCAGTGGGGACATTAATTGGCTGATGATGATGATGATGATGATACCAAACTAATGAGTAATACGGAGTTCAACTTAGTTATCAAACTATTATCACATAATTATCTCTGACACAAAATGGTAAAACCAGAATACCTGCTACATGTTACATGCTTTTGTTTTTGTATAAGTCCATAATTGTTATTTAATCACTATAATCACAAAATTGGATTATTCCAGTTTCAGTATCGCTAAATCATTTCTTGATTATTGACAATGATGTTTTTGTATCCGTCAATACTAATTTATCTATTTTTTTTATCGTTCTCAATTAGAACCCGTTACCCAACTGTTCTTACAGTCTATCGATTTCAATTATCACACAAAAACAAATTTTTTAATGTCCGGGATATAATTTGTTGCCAGGACGTAATTTTTTTAAGATTGTGCCTACACGTTACTCCACTCAAGACGTTACTTTTTCGTATTTTTGAAATAAAACTACTTTACGCACGCTTGACTTGGGGGGTAAGCTGGCGAATGCGTTACGCGTTACGAAAAGTGTGTTCGGGCGAGGCAAACGGTAGTTGTGTGGGGGATATAAGCAGGAGAAAGCAGTGCGCATGCACAATCCTTAATAATATAAATTTTAGTGGAGCTAGGGACAAAACCAAGGCCGAGTTGTTTCGTCGATAGTAAAATTTGACTATTGTTAATGTCACGTCAAATATCTAAAATGTAAAAAAAAATACAAATGGTAATTATATTTCTATAGGATTTAACCATATTAAGCACTACGGGACATTGGCGAAATTTCTGCGTAGAACGGAAACAGCCATAGACAAAAAAACTATATTTAGTAGTTAAATTTTACTATCAATGAAACAACGCGACCTAATTCAGATTTCTAGACGACAACAGATGCAGCCGGGATTGACAAGTTAACTTGCCTTCCGTAGTATGGAGAAGAAAAAATGTTAGGTATAGATACCTACCTAACATATTTTTGGTCATTCGATATTGGCCACGGCAAAAGATGTTTAAAATTCCTCAATAACCTAACCACCACAGACCCAGAGCAGAATCAATCAAAATAACTAAAATACAGTTGATTTATCCACAATTATAATGAATATTTTAACTTGGCAGACTCGACACGCAAATCCTAATCCAATGTGCACTTAAAACTGCTCCATTAATATAATTTAAACTTCTGTATTGGTTATTGGGTTGCGATTGTGATAGCGATGTGAAACGCAATCCGTCCACCAGAGTTGGAAATTATTTCTTAAACTGGCAAAGAAAAGCACCTAAAGAATACTATTTTTTTTTTATGTTATAGGGGGCATACGAGCAGACGGCTCACCTGATGGTAAGTGATCACCGTCGCCCATGGACACTTGCAACACCAGGAGTATCACAAATGCGATGGCGGCCTTTAAGGAAGGAGTACGCTCTTTTGTATACACCATATTTGGTGAGCAATGACATGTTGAAAAAGGCACAACATCCTATACAACACTGCGGGCTTTTCATTTAGCCGGAATGCAATGTTATTCAGTTTATCGACGATTCGCCATTTTATGGCAGATAGGGCGTAGTGAATTTTCCGCATGAATTGTAGTTTCTGGAAAAGTATTTTTCCCCACCTTACACAAAACCACAGCGAAATAACATAGTCGGTGAGACGCGATACATGTTTCTGCCGCATCAGGTAGCCTAGCCAAATGGCTTAAGTTTATTAGTGTTAAGCGTGATTTAAAATTCTTTAAGGGATTGTCATTATTAAAGGACACAACACAATCATGATCAAGGCGTTACGAACTGTCAAGAGCCAATTTAATTTCTATTATAAGCTGTCCTACCATCGGCAAAGAAGCGAATTGTCGGCTATTATCTCGCTCAGAACGTATGTACATCTATTGTACATTTCTTGAGCGATAAACAACCCGATAGTTCGTCGCTTCCCCGCCGGCGGTGAGACAACTGCCTAACCTAAAAAATTAAAACTAAATGGTCTTACCTGACTCCCACTTGATTGCACCGTTTGGTCATATTCAAGAAATCCTCCTCATCCCCCGATCTAGTCTTCAATTTATAAGACATCACTTGGTAACGCTCATACCAAGGTCTCCCGCCATCTTTGTGAATTATTAAATTCTCGGAGGGAGGTGATATCTGATGAAAATATAAAAAAATCATTGAAGCTGTCAGTTTTTTATCTGATAGATGTAAAATGCAACGTAAACAAATCAAGTGATATGCAATAGAATAATTGATTTATTTACATCATTTTGAAAGTTTTATAAATGCAAAGATATCAATCTTTTAACCTTCGGTGTACCGGAACTTGGAACGCATATCCTCGCTTATTATATTGAACATAAATATTTTTTTTTCAATTGTATCTGGAGTATAACGGCATATGACAGATTATCAGATTTTTTTTCTTAAAACATCTGAAAGTACTGTGATTGTATTTTGCCTAGTTGGTCTTAGTAATATTTTCAATGAGCTTCGACTCGATGACAACAAAAGACAAGGAAGAAAATCCTCTCACATGAACAAAAGGAGCAAAATCTACTTAAGCCACTTCATATAACGAAGAGAATTCTGCAGCATTGGCCCTCTATTGCAGCAAAGAAGTGATTAATAGAATCAGAGGCAATTTACCTGAACCCCACCATATCCTTTAGGCGCTAAGAACCTTTCGCATTCGTCAGCAATATCCCTCCACTTCCACTCGAAGAGGTGTACTATCGTAGTCCGGTCCGGCAACATGTTTGTCCTGTCATGATGATCGCAATAAACTCCAACCGCCAAGGTTGTGCATAGCCACAAAAGCAACATTTCTGGAAAGATAGAAAAAAAATATATATTTATAAGTGTTGTGAACACATGTTAATTGTGTATGTAGTTACTAGATTGACACGTATGTAAAAAGAGGTCCTAAGCAAATTCTACAATTCGCTGTTTGTGTTCCTTAAATAAATAAAACAATTCAAAACAATTATTTATTCGAAGCCTAAGTAACAATCTGGAGCGGCACACTTTTTATTTAACGACTAGAGGTGCCCTGCGGTTTCACTCGCGACAATTTGAGAAAAAAAGTTGAAGTGGATTGTGGTTCAACCTTTAAATTTAGATATATCCTGTCATGGACTTATTATATAGAACTTTTAAAGGAGAACTATTCCGTTATACGTGATTATTGTTAAACTTGTACCGTTGACGCAGCGCACGCAACGGAAGCTCACAAATCGTTAATTTTTATTGTTTTTGCCATATTTTTCATTGGTGATCCGCTTCTTTTGGTCATATCGTTGTGTCATATAGTATTTAGTCTTTCTAGATAAATTCACTACTTAACATATGATTAGCACGTTCAACCAAACGAACGATCGATCAAACAAAGAAACTCTTCAGCTTTATAATAAGTAAGTATTTATTATTATTTAGCAAATGGATTATGAAAAAATAATAAAATAAAAAAGGCTATAAGATAATATGCTGCGCCTTGTACCTACTTAGGTATTTTAAAATTGTATCTATTTTTCTAGAAAAAACAACTTGTTCTACATACCATTATTTTTAAATAAATATTTATGTAGTTACTTTTATTGGTGTATGTTTATAGTTAATCACTTTTTTTTAATATAGCCGCATTCGTGAATTTCTCTATGCCTAAAGGTTGACTGGCAGAGAATGCTTGCTTTTAGCGTTAAGTCCGCCTTTTGTCCATTTTTGTAATTGTAGCAATAAAGTTTAAAATAAATAAATACCAGGCTAGAATTGAACTATCTTTGTAAAGAACTGCTATTTTATCTTTATTGCTCTCTACAAATAGATTTGTATGTGGTTATCTTCTGTAGAATTGCAATCAAACATTAACTAAAATAAGGATAAAGTATATTAAAATGTGTATGTAGGTATCACCTTGACTCGATGAGACCGGTCTAAGGCCCGATAGGTATTTTTATTCTTAGCTAAATATTGTGCGGATATGATGTTAAGCCACAATCAAACACAACAAATACTCGCTGCGAATGCTTACTCGTCACAACTATTCGCTGTATGTGTCGGGCTATTCGCTACGAATAGATTCACTCGCAGCGAATTGAATTCGCTGAGTGCTGAACATGTTCAATTTTACTCGCAGCAAATACTGTGTTGCCATATATACAGATTTAGCTGTATGCATACAGATTTTAGGCTATCGTACCGATACATATGTCAGATTTTACTCTACAATCCATACAGATTTTTTTAAATATGATTATGGGTTCAAAATTAAGAGGCTTTAGTTGGGTTTTAGATGTCTTGTCATGACAACATTAACGAAACAGGGTTGAGGTTGCTCAAGATATTTTTGTGAGTGAGTGAATATTACGCGAACTTCAAAAGGAGACTAATATTTCCAAAGGAAATATATACATTTCGTTCGTCTTTTCTTTCTTCTCGGTCGGGTAACAACGATTTACCGAACCGCAGACGTCATACGCTCAGATTACAGATTTTGTTTTCTAATTTAAGGCTGTATGTATGGAAGTTTGTTGTGTGGGTTGTGTGTTCATTATTCGAATGTTCCGTTAAATTCTACAGTGAATTAGCGAATTGGTGATTTTAACGAGTAAAATGTTGATATACAACATACAATATTTGATAAAGTGGTTGAATACATTCACAACACATGTTATTACTTTTAGTAAAGCATTAAATAAGTGAGTTAATTTCAAAAAAATAATAAAAAAGATATTCTTAATTAATTGTAAATGTTTTTCAGTTATCTATTTTTACTTTTTACTAATAACTTAGTTATTCATTAAACTACCTACCGCAATTATATAGAGTAACTATATAATTTATATACTTAAATTCAAGCATACAGATAATATACAGATTTTTACACTCCGCGCTTCTGATTTTTTTGGTTTAACAGATGACAACACGGAATAGCCATTTCGCTCAGCGCGCTGCTCTGTACTGCACGTTAATACTACAACATAATAAATTTTTCACAACTACAGACTGTCGGAAATTTCTATGCAGCACTCGCTGTGTGTGACGCTGCGACTAGTGATAGCGAATGCACTCGCAACGAGTATTCGTATATCGGAATGGCTATTTGCTGCGAGTACCCCTGTCACACACAGGGAATAGTCGCGGCGAGTAGGCATTCGCAGCGAGTATTCGCTATGTGTGACGGAAGCTTTAGGTATCAGTCAATACCCATTTTTTAATATGATAAGTTTACGTGAAGTACATATATGATACTTTCGATGACTGTTGCTACGGCCCATGGCCTTTTGGACTTCACCGTAACATAACAACGGGGCCTAGAATTCATTTGAAAAGACAGTTGATTAGCTTCTCTATGCCACTTCATTTTCCTACCACAAGGAGTTGTAACTCTTTTACCCAACTGCAGAATTATTAATTATTATATATGGTTTTATATATACACATAAATGAAGTTACTTTTCACCAGAACGCTAATTCAAAAACCTTACAAAAAACCAACACCTTGAAATAGAATTAAAAATGTCAACTGCCAGTGACAGTCCTTTAACATTAATTTACATATAAATCTTTTTTCTGACGAAATTGGTTATCTTTAACCCCACAAACAGTGAGATAACTCCTACCTAAAAAAATAGATACATATCTATATTAACAATGTAATTATAAACTTACCGATCACTATCACAACCAAACCGGGCACGAAACTCACTATGCTAAGTTTTATAACCAAACAAAACTAAAAATACTTAGACATCTCATAAATGCTAGAATGACCGGCACCGTCCGACTCTTTCCTCATACTGGTTTCATAAAAAAATAAGCTCGTTTAATGCTAGTGGGTATAAGTATAAAATCAATACCTACAGCAATGAATTAGGTAATCTTTGTTTACATTGTCTTAGAATAAATTAAGAAACGGTTAGCCGTGCGTGGATCTTCATCCGATACTTTTGCTTTTTCAGATTTGTACCTACGTTAATGGTTGTAAGTAGTAAAATCACTAACTTTTCTAAGAGAAAATGCTCGACTTAGATATTAGGTCCTTACCTATGAATTTGCCGTTTTTCATGAAATAAGTTAACGCTCTTTTTTCTATATTTTTTATTTTTATTAATCAAAGTAAGTAATGCCCATATATAAACCATGCACTCAATGCATTTTTGCCAACACAGTGGTAGCTTATTGATGCCCTTTTTAAAAAAGTCTGCTGGACGTTAGCCAAGAAATTCTCCAAAGGCATTTTGAACTGCCTCTTGGTTATTAATTTATTTCTCCGCTAAGAAGATATCCAAATTCTGGAAAAAGTAGAAGTCTGTAGGGGCAAGGTCTGGTGAGTACGGTGGATGACGGATGACTATGCAGTATGAGGTCGCGCGTTATCGTGCAGAAGCAGCGCAGTCAAACAATTGACCAAAGCTGGTTAGAGATGTGCGAGCTTCTCCATCATCGTTTTCAGTTCTTCACAGTACACGTCTGCAGAATAGCTCATCCCGATTGGTAAGAAGATGTGCAGCATTACTACCACGACGCTACCACCCATACTCCATAATCACTCGAATTTTAACGTATCCATGATGACGAAAAACGTAAAAATGCGTTTCTGAAAAGAGAACGCTTACCATTAATTGAACAAACAAATGAATAATTTTTAAAACAATTAAAACAGATATTAAAAATAAAAATAATTTTAACTTAGAATTCTTTGCAAAAAAGAAAAATTGAACTTGAAATAACCAGTACGACAGTACGGCAAATTAGTTTCGGAGGAGTATGGTAACTAAAATTGTGACACGAGAACTTTATATGCTTATAAGATTAACTGTGAAGTTTTTATATTAATTTAGTATGGAAATAATTGTAAAGGAACTTACTTGGAAAATTCATTCGTTAAATGAATTTCCAATTTCATGTTTACATAGGGAGATGGGATCATGTGAAACGACCTCTTCCTTCCCTTTACCTTTCCGAAATTTACATTACCCGTGTAATTAAACTTTGTCTATAACAAGTTCTAGACCCCGTTAAAATGATGGTAATGATGGTAGCAAAACAATTAGCAGGTGGATCAGCCTAAACTAACAAATCGGGTTCAAAGCCTTCTTGTCTGCATGAAGGAATAATACACCGTTTAGGAATACGAATAGACTCCGTGAATATTCCGATCTAATTATAGAGAAAGACAACTCAATTTTCGTATTACGAAATGGGCCTCTATAAACCACTCAAAATAAAAAAAACATGTTTAATGAAACTATTTTTGGTAAGTTTTTGATGTTGAGCGAGGAGTAAATGAATGACAGGTAGGTATCTACTATGAATGTGTCCAGTGACCGCGCAGTTTTATGCACATTACTAAATTTATATACGCTTATATTCATATTTTATTATCATCATCCTTTTAATGTGTCCTCTAGGGGCACAGGCCTTCCCTATGAATGGAATAAGGAGCCATGACCCACCACGCGGACCCAGTGTGGATTGGTGGGTGCTAAGGACTGCAGATGTATCCGGGACCAACGTCTTAACGTGTCTTCCGAAGTACGGAGGAGCTAGAGATAGTACATTTTTGGTTGCCCATCCAATGATCGACCACTACGAAAGTTGCTTAACGTCAACGATCGCGCTAACCACTTGCGCCATCGAGCTCCTCATCTGTCCCATTCCCAATTTATTTGGGGTTGACGTAATAATATGTTCTTTTCCTTTATTCTCTTCTTCTTCAATTGTCCTCTTCTTAAAGACTCGTTTACATTATTATTCATGGTCCTCTTTGATACACGCCTCTCATCCCTTCTCATCACATATCCGTACTGACAAAATTTTCCACACATTTTCCAGCCAAAGGAAGGTCTGATGATAGTTTAATAAATATTCCCTTTAAATATTATTAGAAATTCCAGTCACGTATTGTTCCTGTATCCTGTTACCTGTCACCACTATTACGTCATCCACCCTAAGCAAATTTCTTGCTTTACATACTCAACACCCTTACTGTGAAAATTACAACTGTCTATTACAGATAAATCCCGCTGACAGACGAACGAACAGTGAAGACTATATAGGTATAGGTTCCATTGTCAAGGTTCGCGACCTTAATAGTTTTATCGCTACTCAATTGAGTGCTTTATAAATGTTAAAGTCAAACCAACGGCAACGTGATTTTATTCTTTTCAACATTGCAATTGCAACATGGTGAAACTTTTTTTTGACGCAGGTAACATTGACTCTTTTAATGCCTGTCTCTAAAAATAAATCTTCTTAGGTCTAGACAAGGGTTACCAACTTTTTTTCTATTAAATATAGTTATATTGGAAGCTGTTGCTTCTAAAAATAAAGTAGATGGAAAAAATGGAAATACGGTCTCTATTGTTAAAATATGAACTTTATTTTTGATGAGTATATTTTGATGCCCTATAACTTAATACTTCAGTTTTTATTTAAAGAAGGCTTTTATTGGCCAAAGTCGTCTTTAAGCAGAATATAGTAGTTTCGCCTACTTTTTTTAGTAAGTAGTTAGTAGTTTATATAGTAACTTTACTACTTAGTACTTATTACTAACTAGGTAATTAGTACTTATTTTTATTTTATAGTAAAAGGGTTGGCAACCCTAGTCTCGACTAGACCATAGTAAGCAATGGAGTTTATACGTTAATAACCGTCAGCGTAGGTAGCCTTATAAATTCACGAAACGACCTTAATATCATGGTGGAAGACACCTTAGTACGTACCTATGTGTTTTTCAAAGCACTCTTCCGGTTCTTTATAAGTAGCTACCTAGATACTTAATCTTGTAGCATTTATACAGACTGTGACAATAGTTCGAAATTAAACTTACGGTGCGGTTGTGTATATTTATACACCACTTAACATAATAACCGAACGAATACTTTATTGCTCTCAGCGTTCAATGCTGCCCATGAAATTTAAGATCGTTGCATCTTGGTGCATAATCTACTATTATTTCATGTTAAGGGGGTATAAAGGTACCATGTAATATTACGCATAATTCTTTACGTCTCGAATCTATATCTCTGCGCTTCGTAGCAGCAAAGAAACACGTTTAATTAAATTATTGGTGTGGAAGAGTGCGAGAAAATTTAAGAAGCAAATTTTTTAAACTCTACAGTATAACACAATTGCTGGTTGTTTTTTTTTAGGTAGGCACCGGACCTAACTTATTTTTTAATTTAACTAGCTTCCGCCCGTGACTTCCTTTGACAGCGTCAACTTTAGTTTCCTGAGAATCCCACAGGAACCCATCATTTTTCCGGAATGGAAGTATCCTATATGTGTGTCGAATTTCATATTTACAATAATGATAGTACAGACCATCACTCATTGAAACAGAATATAAACTCACTATTAGTTTTATAAGTTGACTGGAGCTGGACTCATCACATCACAATACTAGACGCATACAATAGCACATTAAATGTAGATACGGAACTGCGCAACCGCACGTTCTATATTGGTTACAGTAGACCAACGACTGGGATTCTATTACAGTAGTAGCTTGTTTTTTTGTGTGTGCGTCAGGATGACGGGTCTCTGGTGTAAAACACTGAAATTATGGTCAAGAATTTATTGCTTCCCATTAGCTTTCTAATTCTTGGTTACCATTTCAGCCCTCACAAGTGAATCACTCTGTTGTTGGTTTGGAGTGACAGTCGGGAACGCATTGACCTGTCATTCTGACGCACGCGTTTTCCCCGCCTCAAAACTTACAACTTTCTTTCTGCGGTTTCTTCATGTAATATAAAAATATCGTAAAACTATGAACATATAAGAAAAACACACACGTTTTGCATTTGTAAGGTATTTATTAGAAGCAAGTTTTAACAATATCCACCAAAAACTATTACAATGTAAATTTTTGAATCACATTAATATCAGACGGAGAATTAAACGATTGCACTTATCCCAATGAAGAAATCAAAAAAGCAATGATATTTAAGTAAATTATTTATATTACAAAATGTATATTACAAAACAAAACTTTTTTTTAAACATACGGAAATAGTCATCTTGGAAGTTATTTTAAAAACTCAAACTCATTTATTTAGTCTAGGCTGTTACAAGCTCTTGTGAAAGTCAAACGCTACGCCATCGGTTCGTAAATCTACGGCGGGAGACCTTGTTCCGAGAGGAACCGGCAAGAAACTCAGAAAGGGCTACATTTTTCTCCCTGTTTTGTTTCATACAATGTCGTCAATTGAAAGATGACATCAAAAACTGACAACATGTATTGATGTCAACTTTCATCACATTAATATTATTAATTAACAATAAGTTAAGTAAAGCTAGGTACTATTTTAAAGAGAATAATGCCATGCTTTATTATAATTCTTTGTTTATTTACATCACTTTTTTTTTAATTCTAAATTGAGATACATAAATTACTAACCAGAGAGAAAATTTTATGTCGATCCCCTTCAGAACTAATGCGTGTCTATTTGATACAACTTATTGAACGGCGAAAACAAAGCGAAAGATTCGCAATTAGGCCCCAGCATCGCAATAACGCTTTAGCCACAAAACGAAATTTATTTCTAAGGTAGTCCACTGGTTCAATGTTAATTATTTACTGTTAAAAGGGAAAACTAAGTGAAATTTGTGTTACCTAATATCAAACAGGTAAAAACTAATGTAAATATAAAGAATCGAAATATGAGCCTTGTAGATGCCACAGTGTTCTTAGGAATCACAGTAGATTCAAAGCCTAAGGCTAGAGAAAATTTGACACGGCCATCAGGGCCGCGGTAGCATTGTTTAATTGCAATATAGCATTATATTGAGATATGTACATTGTTTTAAACTTTCATGGTAACAAACATTATGGAAATTTATGTCATTTACGGGATTGATATAGTTTATTTTTTGGGAATCTTTGATATTTCGGTTACTCCGTAATCATGGCGCTTGCAACAGAGCTGAAATAACGGGGAATCGCAAAAAACAAGGAACATGATAGCAATCCCATAAATAACATATATTACTATAATAATATTGAGATACCCAAAGTAATAGTTCAAAACTCGTGTTGTAATGTAATATTCGCTCTTCCTATAAATTTATTGCTTATGTTTTCTCATGCCTAAACATTTTTTTACTAAAATGCATATCGGTATTTGGCGGGAATCAAAACAACACCATTCGCTATGATTAAAAATGTCGTCACACGATCTTTATATTATTATGTGCCGAATTTATAACGGGTGATAAGACAAAAAAAATGCATCCTAATCAAATTAACAGAAAAAGACGATCCTTAATGTTTTTCATTTCACATCACTATACCAAACTAGAGGAGCTCGATGGCGCAGGTGGTTAGCGCGTTCGGCTGCGATGGTTGAAGTTAAGCAACTTTCGCAGTGGTCGGTCATTGGATGGGTGACCCAGAACATCTATCTCGAGTTCCTCCGTGCTTCGGAAGGCACGTTAAGCCGTTGGTCCCGGCTGCATCTGCAGTCGTTAGCACCCGCCAATCCGCACTGGGCCCGCGTGGTGGGTCATGGCCCAATCTCCCTATTCCATCCGTAGGGAAGGCCTTTGCCCCAGCAGTGGGGACATTAATTGGCTGATGATGATGATGATGATGATACCAAACTAATGAGTAATACGGAGTTCAACTTAGTTATCAAACTATTATCACATAATTATCTCTGACACAAAATGGTAAAACCAGAATACCTGCTACATGTTACATGCTTTTGTTTTTGTATAAGTCCATAATTGTTATTTAATCACTATAATCACAAAATTGGATTATTCCAGTTTCAGTATCGCTAAATCATTTCTTGATTATTGACAATGATGTTTTTGTATCCGTCAATACTAATTTATCTATTTTTTTTATCGTTCTCAATTAGAACCCGTTACCCAACTGTTCTTACAGTCTATCGATTTCAATTATCACACAAAAACAAATTTTTTAATGTCCGGGATATAATTTGTTGCCAGGACGTAATTTTTTTAAGATTGTGCCTACACGTTACTCCACTCAAGACGTTACTTTTTCGTATTTTTGAAATAAAACTACTTTACGCACGCTTGACTTGGGGGGTAAGCTGGCGAATGCGTTACGCGTTACGAAAAGTGTGTTCGGGCGAGGCAAACGGTAGTTGTGTGGGGGATATAAGCAGGAGAAAGCAGTGCGCATGCACAATCCTTAATAATATAAATTTTAGTGGAGCTAGGGACAAAACCAAGGCCGAGTTGTTTCGTCGATAGTAAAATTTGACTATTGTTAATGTCACGTCAAATATCTAAAATGTAAAAAAAAATACAAATGGTAATTATATTTCTATAGGATTTAACCATATTAAGCACTACGGGACATTGGCGAAATTTCTGCGTAGAACGGAAACAGCCATAGACAAAAAAACTATATTTAGTAGTTAAATTTTACTATCAATGAAACAACGCGACCTAATTCAGATTTCTAGACGACAACAGATGCAGCCGGGATTGACAAGTTAACTTGCCTTCCGTAGTATGGAGAAGAAAAAATGTTAGGTATAGATACCTACCTAACATATTTTTGGTCATTCGATATTGGCCACGGCAAAAGATGTTTAAAATTCCTCAATAACCTAACCACCACAGACCCAGAGCAGAATCAATCAAAATAACTAAAATACAGTTGATTTATCCACAATTATAATGAATATTTTAACTTGGCAGACTCGACACGCAAATCCTAATCCAATGTGCACTTAAAACTGCTCCATTAATATAATTTAAACTTCTGTATTGGTTATTGGGTTGCGATTGTGATAGCGATGTGAAACGCAATCCGTCCACCAGAGTTGGAAATTATTTCTTAAACTGGCAAAGAAAAGCACCTAAAGAATACTATTTTTTTTTTATGTTATAGGGGGCATACGAGCAGACGGCTCACCTGATGGTAAGTGATCACCGTCGCCCATGGACACTTGCAACACCAGGAGTATCACAAATGCGATGGCGGCCTTTAAGGAAGGAGTACGCTCTTTTGTATACACCATATTTGGTGAGCAATGACATGTTGAAAAAGGCACAACATCCTATACAACACTGCGGGCTTTTCATTTAGCCGGAATGCAATGTTATTCAGTTTATCGACGATTCGCCATTTTATGGCAGATAGGGCGTAGTGAATTTTCCGCATGAATTGTAGTTTCTGGAAAAGTATTTTTCCCCACCTTACACAAAACCACAGCGAAATAACATAGTCGGTGAGACGCGATACATGTTTCTGCCGCATCAGGTAGCCTAGCCAAATGGCTTAAGTTTATTAGTGTTAAGCGTGATTTAAAATTCTTTAAGGGATTGTCATTATTAAAGGACAC